AAATCGTACATTCCACTATAGAAAACTGCTTGATATATCTTCTGATCCGATTGTTCCAAATGTTGAGAAGGATATGAATAGTAATCACCATAATATCCATTGTAAGGAAAAGGCCAGAATTCCGCTGTTCGTCCTGTTCGTTTAACCATTTTTAGAACCTCTTCTCGATCAACGTATCCTGTGACTGTCACTTTTTGTCGATCCACGTCTATCTCTACCGTGTCCACTCCTACAGAAATTTGATTTTTAAGACTGTTAATTATCAATAATCTCAACATAAAATATGTCATAATATTTGCCTTAAGACCAAACAAATATGTATGAAAGCTAAATGATACGAATAAAAATTTTGTTTGATTTTGTTTTCCTGAATTTATCTTACCATCGAGTTTGGAAATGGCTCTTCGAACCTTCTTTTCACATCCTTGACAATCCATGTCTACCAAAAGCTCCACAATCTTAAACAACAGAAGAAAATATACATTAGAAAATGAACAAAACGTTTTGACGATAAACATCAATAGCAAAGACGACATAGATGGCAACGTACAGATAAGGCTATTGGTAAACGAGAGTTTCCATGTATCCAATCAAACATTGTCTTATTTATCTTTTCGATCGAGATTTACGTTTTGTCTTGAAATCTTTTTGCTTTCAATATAATCTCTTTTGGTTGTGTAATATAATGTTTGTGTATGCGATATATTTATATAGGTGGAAATGGAAATGACTGCGCGTATTAGGAACACTTGGTGTGTGATTCCAAGAAACCGCGTTTGCGTCTTGTGAGATGCAAAAAGCTTATGTCCTAAGTCTTACATAATATATCTTGTGTCTTGGTGTCGCCAGAGTTTTAATTATTGTGTCTTATTACTAGAGTAAGGGTTTACCAAAATAAAATAATAAATTTAGCGTATACCAAAGATGTAGAAGCATATATACTATATAGTAACTTGTATCAATCCTTTTAACGTTTTGTTTCTGCAGAGTTAAGAAATTTGAGAAGATTCAACTGAAATTAAAATTTAGTTTTGGTTTTAATTTAGTTTCGTTGGATATTGAAAAATAAGACCGACCAATCTAAAATTTGATTAGTTTTGATTAATGGGCAAAATCCGAAACGAAGTGGCACCCATATTAAAAAGTCAAGATCTCATGCCTACCAAAAGGTGGATATATACAAAAATTACAGACACATATTAGCTAATTAATGTATATATGTTGATAGAATGCAAGTCGTGTGAATAGCCAAAAATTACAGACACATATTAGGTCTATTATTTCTTTTGAAAAAAAAATAGTTGATATAAAACGGAAATTTACGCAAATTAATTTAACAATATAGCCTCAATATGAATATAACATTTCCAAGTAGATAAAATGAAATTCAAATCTTTTGATTTTTGTGAGAGGTTTCAAAAATTCTAAACACGGAAACGAAATAACTCGCTTTACCAGTAATAAAAACAAAATCAAAAGGGCAATACAACACATTATGATGCAACTTGTTACTTGTGTACTCTATAAGTTACATTCGTAGGAGAAAAAAAAACACATTCGCAGAAAAAAAGAAAGAGAAACCCTTTTAATTTGTGTTACGTAAATTACCGAGAAGAAGCACATAAGCAAAAACCATTTCTTGAAGCCAAGAAAGTTTTTAGTTTGTTGTGACTAAAAAATAACACAAGAGATTAGGAAAAATGTCAGGGATGGACTAAACCGGTCCGGTCCGGTTAAGGCCCGGTTAAGTAATAAGCTCAATCCGGGGATAAAATAGTCTTTTACGACTTACTCAAATCCCCCCTGCCGGAATATACATTGTTCAAAATCAAAACCCCTAAACTCAAATCCTCTCTCCGTTTTTCCGGCGAAAATAATCCGTCGCCGTTCTCTGGCCACTGTCTACACTCACCGTGTGATTTGAAGTCTAATCAAACCTTTGGGCAGATAAGTATCTTAATTTGAATCGCGGATTCTACTAAACTTTAGAAAAGGGACAATGGCATCTTTTCCTCATCCCGGTTCCGTCACCGTCTGCGAGATCAACAGAAACTTGAGTATGTTAAAGCTTTTCACTTCCATTGAAAATTTAGGGATTTCAAAACTTTCTGAGCTAATGGTTGGATTTTCGTAATGTAGTTACGGCTCAGAACTTATCTGATGAGCGAGCTCAGGAGACATATGGAAAAGTACTTGTATGTGGGCTTTTCACTTTCGTTTCTGATCTCATATAGCTTTAAACCTTAGTTGTAGGTAGCAGCAAAAGGCTTTGTTTTTGACAAATTCCATGTTTTGCGGATTGGGGGTTTTTGTTTGATCACAGGGAATGGTGTTTAGCCCTGTTTCGTTCGACGCTACGCCTAGCTCTCTTCAGGAAAATGAAGGACAAGAGAATGGAGATAAGGCAAGTGTTGAGAGTAAAGGACTGGTGGCAACACTGCAGATGAAGGTTGCAGACTCTCTTAAACAGATTTTACAACCCACCGATGTAAGAGTTTCGATTATCAGTCTGTTGGTTTCTATCTGTTAGTTTATTTCAAAATGGCATTATCATAGCTGTTAAATAAAGCCATAGCCTTGCTCACCTTTTCTTTTCTAGGTAACTCTCCTCTCAGAGATTGATCTTCAAGGAGTGAGTTGGCATCAAGGGAAGCATATTATTGCCTTTATATCCGGTGCTAATCAAGTTACAATTCGTGATTATGACGACAAAGGTCTGTTTTCTTATTCAATTCCAGATTCCTATTGCACATTTACAGGATTGTGCATACAGTTTCAAATTCTTCTTTTGAACAGATGAGAAGGAACCTTGCATTTTGACAAGTGATTCACAGAGAAATGTTAAAGCCCTTGAGTGGAGACCAAATGGTGGAAAATCCCTATCCGTAGCCTGTCGGTGTGTATTATTGGCCTTCTGATACTGTCTACTTTCTAGAAATAGCTAGTTTCCATAAATAACCAAGTTTGTATCTACTGTAACAACTGTTTCATTGAAACAGGGGAGGAATATGCATATGGGCTGCTTCCTATCCAGGTAACATGGCATTGGTTAGATCTGGTGGTTCCGCATTGAGGGGAAGTCTCTCTCGAGGATCTGGAACTCGCTGGATTTTGGTGGACTTTCTTCGGTGTCAAAATGATGAGCAAATTAGTGCTCTCTCATGGAGCCCTTGTGGAAGATATCCTAAAAACGTTTACTGCTATAACTGTTTTGCTTTACGTCATTTTGGTGTTGTTAGTTATCTACACGTTTCCAAGATCATATCAATTACCATAGTTGTTTATCAAGCTGAATCTCATGATAGGCATTTGTTGGATCTTTTCTGTCTTTGCATCACATGGGTATCTAACTTTGTCCATCCTATTATTCCTTGACCTATTTTTACATATTTAGCATCAGCCTCATATGATAGCTCATCTTTCACCATATGGGATGTTTCTCAAGGTAAAAGAAGAACAATATAGAACACTTTCTTAATGCACAACAGCATGCGAATGTTTGATCATTTATCCTGCTTGCGATGTATCAGTAAATCAAGACCAAACAGTTGGTCGGACATACTTGGTTGTCTTGCTCTTATTTAACATCCTATGTCTTGAGTTGAGATTAGAAAATGTATCTGCAATTCCTTGTTTCTGAAAGTGATCTGTATGCAACTTCCAGGGGCGGGGACACCTATTAGACGGGGACTAGGTGGAATATCAATGCTTAAATGGTCACCTACAGGAGACTACTTCTTTGCAGCAAGATTGTAAGACATCAAAACCCTTTCTCGGATGTGGAAAGTAGCTTCCTGTTTGATATGTTTGCTAAGAAAATGTTTTTCTATCACAGTGATGGGACCTTTTGTCTTTGGGAAACAAACACATGGACATCTGAGCCCTGGTCTTTGTCTAGTGGATCTGGATCTGTCACGGTAAAATCATGATCCCATAGATAGAATAGTGAGATATGCAATAGAGTATTGTTAAAAGCGGTTTTGTTGGAGAGGTTAGCATCACTAGTGTTGTAAGCATAGGATATGTACACGACTCCATTCTGTTTACTATGCATTCATTTTCCTTCTTTTATGTATGAAATTGCAAATGTGTTCCATCTTCGTAATTGGAGTAAGCTATAATACTATACTAACTTCTATTGATAGGGAGCGATATGGGATCCCGAAGGACGGTTTATCTTGATTTCGTTTTCGAAATCTTCAACACTGGGCTCTGTTCATTTCTCATCCAAGCCACCATCCTTGGGTATGTAGAAACTTTGAAGTCGTTTTGCCTATACTACTAGAAATACTAACCAGTTAGCACACTAAACCTCTGTTTTGGGTTTACTTTCAGATGCCCATCTATTACCAGTTGAATTACCAGAGATTGCTTCTCAGACTGGCAGGTAAATTATTTGGTTGTTTTGTTCAATAAACCCGTGCAAAGGCCTTCCATTAATTACTTCCTGATATTGTATCTTTCTAAACTGAATAACCAGTGAGGGCATCGAGAAGATAGCATGGGATGCATCTGGAGAACGATTGGCTGTGTCATACAAAGGAGGCGATGAAAATTACAAAGGATTGATTGCCATCTACGACACACGAAGGACACCTATTGTATCAGCATCACTAGTGTAAGTAACTCCTACTGTTATCCATTCCATCGGTCTTGACCTTCTTTTGAATATATCTTTGCATAGTCTAAATCTATAGACAAATTGTAATGCTTTTATGATTACAGCGGTTTCATCAGAGGACCTGGAGAAAACCCCAAGGCTCTCTCTTTTTCATTCCATGACAAGTTCAAGCAAGGTCCACTCCTTTCCGTGGTAAGTCATATGCTCTATCAATTCTCTCATGCCAAAGTATTTATATAGATAGAATCAGTTAGTTAATCAATCTTTCAAATGAACCTTGTTGCAGTGTTGGAGCACCGGATTCTGTTGCACCTATCCTCTCATCTTCCGCTCACATGTTCTCCCTTAATAGCCAAATGGTTCAAATTCAATGCGAGTTTCAAACTCTTTGGTTCTATTTTGTAGAATGCTCACTCCTTTGTATACAAATGGCTTCTTTAAAGAACTCAGATTGAAGTTAAATCCAAAAACAATGGTTGCATTTGAAGTACAATTATGGTCCTTGAACACCAAAAAGAACATTACAAAATAGAAAAAGAAAAGCAGCAAACAGATCAGTCACTTAGACATTCTTGTTTTTCTTCATCTTGGAAGGTGGCCATCGACCCTTCTTCCTCATCTTACGCTTACGAACCAGACGTTTCCTGCGTAGCCTAATCTTCTTGGCCAGCTTCATCTTCAGCCTCAGTTCCAAGAGCAGTTTCTCTTTAGCTTCTTTTGATTCCAACGGTAGTTTATCCACTGGAACAGCAGCAGCAACAGTCTTTGGTTCCTCATTGCTCTCGGGTTCAGCCCCGTCCACACCAGAAGCAGCAGCCTTCACCACAATTGCTGCTGCTCGTCCATGGCTACTGTTGAAGCTGTAAGCACTGAGAGAGACTCTGTTCTTGGACTCGACAGCGTTGGGTTTAAGGTTCAAGACTGACATTTTTACAATGAAGAAACACAAAAGATTAGAGCATTACAAGTAAACCAAGTGTTCGATTAAATGCTTCAGTCAAAGCCTACTTCGATCTCTTAATAAGCTTAAAACCTGACTGCCCTAAAACAAAAGTTCTTCTTTTTGGGATAACCAAGAAATTGAATTAGCCCAGGAACTGAAATTTCGTGTCTTAAGTCTCTAATGGGGTTTTTATCCGATACGATTCTTCAGGAAAACGAAGCTATATTGATACATCAAGACTAGAAACAAGTGAAAAGGCATTACCTGGTGAAGCCAAAGACGAAGGTTGAAGAAGGCGCGACGAAGATGAAGAAGAAAGAGAAGATAGAGAAGGGAGAGAATTGAAGCAGAGAAGAGCCATCTTCTTCTTCTAATGGAAGAATTCGTCTTCAGACTTTCATTTGATGTTTTAGTTTCTACTGGATAAGCTTTTTCTCCTCTCTGTGTCTTCTTAACGAACGGATTGGATTGATCCGGTTCAAATCGGTTTAATTAATTTTCCTTCAATTACAGATATTACAAAACGAACCGACATTTTTGCTTCTTAGCAAAATTGTGATTCGGTTTGAATAGATAAACCGGAGTGGGTAATTTTTGTTTTTTTTTAATAGAATTGTGGTGAGTTATGACACGTGGCTGTCGCAGTGTGTGATTGGCGGGAGAAAGGCTAAGTTAAGGGTGTTCCAGAGAATGATGTTGTTGGTGTTTGAGCAACTTCCAATGGCGGAGGACAATTCTATGGAGAAAGGCAGAGAGAGAGAAAAAACCAGATCTCTCTCAATCAGAAACCATAATCATAAGAAGAAAGAAGGAGAACAAATCCGCACAATCGGCGGCAGGATTTTGAAATCGCCGGTTTCCTTCGCTTGGCCGTGAAATCGAGAAAATTTCTGGCCGCGGATTCTGAGACTGGAAAAAAGCGAAGAACATTTGTCAGTTTCATTCCCCGAAGAAAACGTCATGTCTTCTCAGAATCCTGAACCAAAAAGGATCTATCAAGTTTGGCCCGCCAAAAATGTAAGACATTTCATGATTTGACAACAAATTTGCATTTTTTAAAGGAATTTTAGCTTTGGAAGATAAGAATGAAGGAGGAAAATACCTCAAGATGCTCGGAATTGATTTGCTACTAATATATGCTCTGCTACTTTCTTTGTGTGTTAGAGTTTGAAGAACATGAGCTTTTACGATTCTCTCCATAAAGTTTTAGCCTTTTTGTTTTGAAATAGTCTTAATATTTTTCTGTGTATTGTTTCCCACATGTTTAGAGCAAAAACAAGATATATCCTAGTTTCTGTCTGTATAAAATCATTGTCTTAAATGGAGTTTCTCTATTTTTTTTGTGTTTCAGAAATTTTACTGTGGGGGAAGACTAGTGTTTGGTCCAGATGCATCGTCGCTTCTTTTGACCACATGTATGATTGGAGGACCAGCTATCACTTTCTGTATCAGGATGGCTTATTTGATCAGCCATCGTCACCCTTTCTTTCATTCTCTTACTTTGATCGGTGCAATTCTTCTCACGTTCATGGTATAAAGCATTATTATCTACTTACTTTATAAGCCAGATCATACCTAGAGCCAAATTCCTGCATCTCTTACTTCTTCCTTTTATGCAGGCTTTCACTTTTCTCTTCTTGACATCATCGAGAGACCCCGGGATTATCCCAAGGAACAAACAAGTGCCTGAGGCAGAGATTCCAAATGTTATCACACAATCAACAGAATGGGTGACTAACAAATTAGGAAATGTGAAACTACCTCGAACAAAAGATGTAATGGTGAATGGCTTCACCGTGAAAGTGAAGTTCTGCGATACCTGTCAGCTATACCGTCCTCCTCGTGCCTTTCACTGCTCAATCTGCAACAACTGTGTCCAAAGGTTTGATCATCACTGTCCATGGGTAGGTCAGTGCATCGCCTTGGTAAGTCTTACTGGAACTCAAATTCTCACTTCCAAGATAATGAACTGAGTAAGATCTATGAGTTGATATGTTATCTACTCGCTTTTTTTTTCGCAGCGTAACTATCCATTCTTCGTCTGTTTCTTATCATGTTCAACACTCCTCTGCATCTACGTCTTTGTCTTCTCATGGGTCAGCATGCTTAAAGTCCATGGGGAATTCTATGCTGTCCTTGCTGATGACTTAATATTAGGTGTTCTAGGCCTCTACTGCTTTGTTTCCGTTTGGTTTGTTGGTGGACTAACTGTCTTCCACTTCTACCTTATCTGCACCAACCAGGCAAGATTCTTTAGCTTTAGCAACAAGTGAAAGAGATTTCGTAGCATCCAAGTAGCTATTACTATTGATCTGATTCTTTTGTTGTGTTTGCAGACGACCTGTGAGAATTTTCGGTACCATTACGACAAGAAGGAAAACCCTTACCGAAAGGGGATCTTAGAGAACTTCAAGGAGCTGTTCTTTGCAAGAATCCCACCACCTTTGATCAATTTCAGAGATTGGGCGCCAGAAGAAGAAGACGATGTGGAGGTTGGATCCATAGCCTCTGAGCTAGGCAGAACCTTTGGTCCAAAAGACCCGAAAATGAGCAGTGGCAAGTCTGATTCCGAAGCTAGAGAACGGTAACAACAGTGGCACGGCTGTCAAGAGATAAGTGTGGATGAAGAAGTCACAGCGATTGCTTTGGTTTACCAAGAACCAGCGGAATTTAAGGAGAAACTCGAGCGTGGATGTGAGATCAAGATAGGCCAAAGAAAAGGACAAACAGGTGTAAATTTACTTCTGTAATTCAAAGCCATGTATCTCTCTCTCTTTACTTGTCAAAATGACTTTTAAATTTTTTCGCATTAAGAATAGGAATTAGGAGAATTGGTGTATATAATGCTTTCTTGCGTTACAGGTAATTCAATTTGGTGTATATCATTGTCTCCATCTTTCTTTTAGGGTTCATATTATTTTGCCAACATATCACGGTAGCGAAAAAAAAACAAAACAAAAGAGGAATGTGAAGAGAAGATGATGATTCGTTGAGATGTTCAATATTCTATGGGTTGAGAATAACATTATAAAAAAGCTCAAAATACTTTACCAATAGAACAAAAGCTATACATATAACAACTATAATATCTCACCAGTCACTATCATCATCTTATTTTGTGAGATCTTTAATCAAATTGACTTCTTATCTTTTGCTGTGAATGTTGAAAAGTTCATAGAACAAACTAATTAGGGTTGGCTGATTTTATAGCCATAAACTAGTTGCATTCTTAGCTTTCCCCCCCAACCTTTTCGCTCCAGCTAATTCCACCATTAACTTAGATAATTCTCACAATTTCAACATGTACTTTCGGATTCATCCTTAAAACTACGCCTCCAATTGAACTGGTCATTAAACCGGTTCTAACCACAAATCCGCGTTTACTGTACCGCGATTGCGATTTACCCGACTAAAAACCCATTACCCGTTAAGAAAACGACGTCGTTTTCTTTTTGATAAACTCATCAAAACCCAAACAAAAAACGACGTCGTTTTCATTCTTCTTCTTCTACAAAATCGATTTGGGCGTTTAGGGTTCTTCATTCCTAAAGCTGTGTGCATCAATCAACATAGAGTTCCCTTGTTTATAAAAACAATCTTAAGAAAACAGAGAACAACAAAGCCAACTATGATTCTCATTCTTCACAGAAATACAGAGAGAAAGAGAAGATTACTTACCTGCTCTTGAGAGGAAGACATTATAGGTACATCGTGTAAATCTCCCATCTCATCCACATCAACGTTCATCAAACTGTACAAAAACATTTTCTCAGTAATCAACTAAACCCTAAATCAAGAAAAGTAAAAAGAAATTACCCAGAAGAAGAAAAGTTGCCGATTTGATAGCCAACAGAAGCATGTAACGATGGAAGAGGCGGAGCACTAAGGTCCATCAAATCCATAGCCAAAGCCGTCGATGTTTCATCTTGTGAGAATCGTTCCAAATTCGAAACCCCAATCATCGGCATATGACCCTCTTGAAACCCCTGCAAAGACGACTGATCAATCTCCGGCATATGAAGTACGATGCTGCGAATATCGCTGGTCACAGTAATGGTCCCCGGCTCTCTCCACATCCCAATTAAAGCGCTCGAGCAAAGAGAGGACTTCTTGCGGAGGCAATTCAGGAGCCACTTCTTGTAATAAACGATGCGTTCTTGCTTCAATTCAGACGATAGTTCCTTCGGCGCCTGATTCAAAACCTAACGTGAATCGATCCTTTTTCTTGGCGGAATCTGATTCGAAATCCGACTTGGATAATTGATCGATCTTGGCGACTCCGCCGCCGTGGATTGCTCGTTAACTGAAACCTCCGGCGAAGATTTTGTAGAAGAAGAAGAATGAAAACGACGTCGTTTTCTTAACGGGTAATGGGTTTTTAATCGGGTAAATCGCAATCGCGGTACAGTAAACGCGGATTTGTGGTTAGAACCGGTTTAATGACCGGTTCAATTGGAGGCGTAGTTTTAAGGATGAATCCGAAAGTACATGTTGAAATTGTGAGAATTATCTAAGTTAATGGTGGAATTAGCTGGAGCGAAAAGGTTGGGGGGGAAAGCTGAGAATGCAACTAGTTTATGGCTATAAAATCAGCCAACCCAACTAATTACAAATAATCGAAGAAGTGAAGCAATTTATAAAAGAAAAATAATGAGAGAAGAAGAAAAATAGGGGCCCAGAAAAATACAAACGAAGGAAAAAAAATCTGTCTGAAGCACGTTTAATTCAGAGATTTGACTTGCCTTCACCAGCTCATTGTTGCATCATCCTAATAATTTATTAAGATATAGTTGGCCGACCATGATATAACAATATTTAAATAATAATAAATCTAAGTTAAACAAGAAATTATTCCTTCTTAGTTCTCTAACAGACATCCTCCTATTCGCGTAATCACTTTTCCTAATTACATACATTGTCCCCATTATCTCATTAATTAACTCTTGTCTAAATATTCGGCAATGAGATTGGAATAAAAAATATTTTTATTACCCGAAAAAAAAGAAGGGAAAAAGGAAAGAGAAAAGAGACAAGGAAAAAAAGAGATCGCAATTTGCAAAGCAGCGAAAATAATTCGAGTGAGAGAGACGACAGCTTCCATTTTCCTGTCTCTCTCCCTCTCGAACTACAAAATCAAATCAGAGTGTTTGAAATTGTTAATCTTTCTTTTGTAGGAAAGAAAAAGATTTTGTTTTCCGTTTCTGGGGTTTTTCTTGATTTTGATCTCTGATCTGATCTGATCATCATTGTCCATGGATTCTCCGATGGGTTTCTGATTCTGGGTTCTTCCAAATTTCTTCACTTTTGGACTTGTTCTTTTTCTTTTTTCTTTCCCACCTCAGCTATGGCTTGGAATGAGACCAAACTCAAGAGGCTCTATCAAGTTTGGAGGGGAAGCAATGTAAGTCCTGAGATTTTCACTTTGCTTTTGTTTCATTCACATTTTAATAATCTGGAGAAGATTGATCGCATAAGTTTTGGGCATGAATGAAATCGCTCTTCCATTTTATTCAATTTGATTCCTTTTAGTCCAAGTCATAGCATTTCAGACTCTTTATTTTGCCCACTTTGGTAATGAGAACCAAAACATTTGTGTATCTATCTAACTGTCACCTTCTGCTGACTCAGTTTAGCTGCTGTGTTTAGTCTTGATTGTTCATATATGGAAGCTTTCAGGCCATGGTCACTGCAAGCATGGACTTTGATTGTTTTCCCTTTTTCTTTGCAGAAATTTCTATGTGGCGGGAGGTTAATCTTTGGTCCAGATGCATCATCTCTATATCTATCAACCATCTTGATCCTTGGTCCCGCCGTAATGTTCTTTGTCAAAATGTACACTAAAATGGCTGATCCTCGTACCAAGAATCCAAATCTTTGTATTCCAATTCTCTGTGTGTCTTGGATACTCACCATTTTGGTATGTCTTCTGCTTTCGAACTTTGTTAGATGACTTTATCTGTAAAAAGTGAACTAAAGTTTCAATAGTTTTCTTCAGGATATATTTTTCCTCTTAATGACATCTAGTAGAGATCCCGGGATTGTGCCAAGAAGTTTAAGGCCTCCGGAAACAGATGATGCACCGGATTCAACTACTCCGTCCATGGAATGGGTTAGCGGTAGAACCCCAAATATAAGAATACCGAGGGTTAAAGATGTAACCGTTAATGGACATACCGTAAAAGTGAAATTCTGTGACACTTGTTTGCTTTACCGTCCACCTAGAGCTTCTCATTGTTCCATATGCAACAACTGTGTCCAGAGATTCGACCATCACTGCCCTTGGGTTGGCCAGTGCATTGGAGTAGTAAGTTTACTCAATGACTTTACCAAAAATCCCCGAGCATTAGTAATAGGCTCTGTGTTTTGAACTTGTTTGGATTCTTTTGCAGCGAAATTACCGGTTCTTCTTCATGTTCATATCAACATCTACCACTCTGTGCATATATGTGTTTGCTTTTTCTTGGTTGAACATATTTCAAAGACATATGGATGAAAAGATTAGCATCTGGAAAGCTATATCCAAAGATGTTCTATCAGATATTCTCATAGTTTACTGCTTCATTACTGTTTGGTTTGTTGGAGGACTCACTATATTTCATTCCTATCTCATCTGCACTAACCAGGTAACTAGAAAGATCTACGCTTTCGTACATTTCGGGTTGTTTTTGTTGGTTCGCTCTGTTTTGTTTTAATGGTGAATCTGTTTTTTGTGCAGACCACTTATGAGAATTTCCGATACCGTTATGATAAGAAGGAGAATCCATACAACAAGGGAATTTTTGGGAACATATGGGAAATATTTCTATCTAAGATTCCACCATCAATGAACAAGTTTAGATCATTTGTGAAGGAAGAAGATTATATGATGATGGTTGAAACTCCTACTTCAAATCTTGGTGAAAGTCTAGTTAGCTCGAAAGAGAAGATCGATATCGAAATGGGAGGAGGAAGGATTGTTGATGAGAGTGGAAAGAGTTACTCTCTGCCTGAGATTCTCCGGAATCTAAACTATGAAGATCTCGAGGATGATTGTGAGGAAGATGACTTGAAGGCTAAGGATCATCACCACCATCATCACCATCAACATAATGAGGGAATCATCCCTCCTTTTGACCCTTTTTTTACCAATAAGAATGGTAGTAACAAAGATGACAGAAATGGAGAAGAATCAGGAGGATCTTCAAGTGATGATGAAGATGCAGGGAAACGCGTTCGGGTTGAAGATGAAGAGAAAGTTGAAGGGTATGAACGAAATTGGAATACAGATAAAGGTATGAATATAAACGCAGGATCTGAAGATGGAACAAGCTCTCCTGTATCCACTTCACCAATGCTTCGTAAATAGAGGTAAAGAAGCTTTACCTCTGCGTTTCTCTGTGTTGCTAAAGCTTGTTGCTTGCTTCTGAAGAAACCGTTCTCAGCCCGAAAGCTTGACCTTGTTTTTTTTACTTGCTAGAGAAGGAAGGACTTGAAAAGCTGGAGAAATGGAGTTTGTGCTTTATCATTCTTTTAATTGTGTTTCATATAATTGTGGAAAAAAAAAAATCCGAGAAATAACAATCATCTAGGACTTGTGAGTTTGAGCACTAGATTTTTTTATTTTTTTTTAAATCCTTTTTAGTTGTATACTTGTATTTATATATACCAGAATGGCTCATCTGGATATCACCAGCATCACATATTTTATCTCTTTTTTTTTTTCCTTTTTGTTATAAAAAAGATTTGGACCACGAATTGTAACGTATACTGTTGTCGGAATTATTTTTCTGTTATTTTTATTGGTTGATTCATATTTTATTTGTTTCTAATGGCTTTAATTTACCAATCACATAATTTCTTTCAAAAATGTTCTGTTAAACAACGAAATCACAAAAATATTATCAAGAAGACAATGCAAATCAAGAGAAACCAATAAATTATCGCCACGTGTCTGGCTCCCACATCAGAGTTCAGATTTTCACAAGATGAGATTTTTCACAATTATAAATCACCACACAGCCTCATCTTCTTCCTCTAGCTGCTTTTGCTTTTTATCCCACTCTTTGCTTCTGCAACTCACAATCAATGGCGGCTGAAATGGCGTTAGTGAAACCCATCTCCAAATTCACCTCCCCAAAGCTCTCTAATCCGAGCAAATACCTCTCCGGCCGACGTTTCTCCACCGTGATCAGAATGTCAGCCACTTCCTCGCCGCCTCCTCCGGCCACCACCACCTCGAAATCCAAGAAGGGGACGAAGAAAGAGATTCAGGAGTCGCTTCTTACTCCGAGGTTCTACACGACGGATTTCGAGGAAATGGAACAGCTTTTCAACACTGAGATCAACAAGAACCTTAACGAGGAAGAGTTCGTGGCTCTGCTTCAAGAGTTCAAGACCGATTACAATCAGACACATTTCGTGAGGAACAAGGAGTTTAAAGAAGCTGCAGACAAATTGCAGGGACCTCTCCGACAGATCTTTGTTGAGTTCCTTGAGCGGTCTTGTACTGCTGAGTTCTCTGGTTTCCTTCTCTACAAGGAGCTTGGTAGAAGACTCAAGGTGAAATTTTAAGAATACATTTATGGCTTTAAAATAGAACTAATATAATCTTACTTAGGCAATGATATAATGATAATTTAAGGCTATATTAGACATTTTAGTATAATTAAAGTTTCAAGTGTTCTGAGTTTACACGAGATGTTCTTGGTTTGGTGTTTCTTGTGTACATTATGTTTGAAGCTATGCTCATTAGGTGGAAGTTAAAGAACATATATACGAGACTTGATGTTGGTTCATTACATCATTTTATTGGTTTGATCTTGACTCTTTGATCTGATGGCATTGCAGAAAACAAACCCTGTTGTGGCTGAGATCTTCTCTCTTATGTCCAGAGATGAAGCAAGACATGCCGGGTATTATCTCTTAACACCAAGAACCTCTCTTTTTTATCTGACTGTTCCTTCTTGAATTAGCAATTTTTGATGACAAACTTTTTTTTGCAGGTTCTTGAACAAGGGTTTGTCTGATTTTAACTTGGCTCTTGATTTGGGTTTCCTAACAAAGGCAAGGAAATACACTTTCTTCAAACCCAAATTCATCTTCTACGCGACTTACTTATCCGAGAAAATTGGGTACTGGAGATACATCACAATCTACAGACACCTCAAGGCAAACCCTGAGTTCCAATGTTACCCAATCTTTAAGTACTTTGAGAACTGGTGTCAAGACGAGAACCGTCATGGAGATTTCTTCTCCGCTTTGATGAAAGCTCAGCCTCAGTTCCTCAATGACTGGCAAGCCAAGCTCTGGTCTCGCTTCTTCTGCCTCTCGGTAATTAAACTAAACTCTCTTTAATTATTAACTTCAAAATGTGTTTTGCACATTGGCCTAACTGGTAAGAGGATTGACTTTGCAGGTTTATGTGACAATGTACCTCAATGATTGTCAAAGAACTGATTTCTACGAGGGTATTGGGTTAAACACAAAGGAGTTCGATATGCATGTCATCATCGAGGTAAAGGAACTTGAAACAAGAAGATTAATATTAAGCTGTGTTATGTTCCTTTTTCTGAAACTGTTGAAATTTGTTTCAGACAAACCGAACCACGGCAAGAATATTCCCGGCAGTGCTGGATGTTGAGAACCCTGAGTTCAAGAGGAAACTCGACAGAATGGTTGTGAGCTATGAGAAGCTGCTGGCTATAGGACAAACCGATGATCCTTCCTTCATCAAGACCCTCAAGCGTATTCCTTTGGTTACTTCTTTAGCCTCTGAGATCTTGGCTGCTTATCTCATGCCTCCTGTTGAGTCTGGCTCTGTTGATTTCGCCGAGTTTGAGCCTAATCTTGTCTATTAGTAGCTGCTATGTCAAGTCTTGAGTTTACGGCTGGTTCTTGATTTCTTGTAATTGAATGATCGAAACTGAGAAACATGGTCTTTTTTTTTGCAATAAACCAAATACTTTTACTGCACATAATTGATCAAATTACACATTGGATTCACTAAAAATTTCAGCTTTTATTGAACTGGTTAATACAGTTGAGTTTGCTACATAAAAAACACATAACAAAATCTAAGAAGATATCCCTGGATAACAGCGGAAACAATCCTACCCCTCAGTGTCTTGTGTGGAGGAGATTTATCCAGAGAGGATTAAATATGAAAGCTGAGCTCATTTCTCATTCCTCACTCAGTTTTAGCCTTAGGTTTCTGTTGTTCTTCGGTGAGAGGCTTAAACACAACTTTGAAGAACCAAACTGCAAGCAATGTAGCCTTGACAGGTCCAAGCCAATACACAAGTAAATGCTCTTTTGTTATATGTTCACCTCGTGCATAAGCCCATCCCATAACCTGCAAAGATTCACACAAATCAAACAATCAAACAATGATCGGTTTTTTGCTGAAACTACAATCACAAGACTCTTTTGTTTTTGGGTACATACTGCTGCAGGGTTCATGCATCCGCCGGTAAGATCAGAGCCAAGAATATGAAGAGTTAACTTAGCAAGACTACCAATCCAAGTCTTCATGAAGAAACTTCCCGGGATTTTTCTTGTTAGTCCCATTGAGAGCAGTACAATGAAAAATGTTAGTATCCCTTCTGTTAAAGCACCGTGATGGATTGCTACTTGTAGTTTAGGTCCTTTCCCAATCTCAGGGAATACGTGAATGACATGCTTAACCGCAAGAATTGATCCTATTACCTGAAAACACACAAAACCGGAGTTTGACAAAGGTATGATCTTTGATTACACAACACAATGTGGACAATAGAGCAAAAGGTCTTCAAGATAAATTCTTTGTAAAACATTACAGCAGAAAACCAAAATGATCTGATTTTCTGAGAAGAACCCATCAGCTAAAGTTTACAACTTTACATAGATGATAAATCCATCACCAAAATTCTCCACTTTTTCTCTAATTTGACATTTTAAGCAACACACAGACCCTAATTTCATGTCAGCAGTATAATGAGGAATTGAGGATCATCATTGAGTTAAAAATCCTGAGACTTCTCCCTAACGAAGAGTCAATTTTAGTTAAGTTAAAAAGTCAACGAAACAAACCTCGACGGGGATTCGAATGAAAACAGAGAAGATAAAACTGCTGAAGCCACCGGAGACTCCAGAAGCCAAAGCGGTCAAAGGATTATAAAGTCCGCCTTTGGTGATTTGCTGAAGGAAGGCGAAGATGAACATGGAGATGATAGAGAAGAGATAACGAACGATCTCACCGGTGGGATCGCTCCGACTAAAACCAAGAACTCCATGGACTAAAATGTTGACCAGAACGCCTGCCCATATCCACATGAACGACAATACCAGATCAGACACAACTAAACCGATTCTACCCATTTTTCGATTCCAACGATGAGAACCAATTTCTCAGAAAGAAATGAAAAAAGTTAGCTTTTTGATGATCTGAGTTAGGATAATTGAGGACCGTTGAAGAGAATCGAGATTATATGATTGGCTATAAGCGGCTGGTGAATTTAGCATATAATTGACGCTAGAGACATTGGGTGAGTCTGAGTCAGCTTCCGACAATAAAGGTTTTGGCTTTGGTGTGTCGTGATGAGATTAAAGATTCTCTCGAAACGATGACAGAGCTTTGGCTATTAGCCAATAGTCATCAAGTAAAGTGATACGTGACTACTTACTAGTGGATAAAGTATTTACTTAAACAGTAAAGTAATAATTACAAATAAATTACTATGATTAGCCTTCTAAAGAATTGTTTACAAAAAGCCCTCCGATTTGAGTTCACCTGCGTCGGAAGTTTCTACTCTTCATCTTCGGATTCCCGGCGATGGTCGTCTTCCTCGAGTCTCCCTATAGCCGTCGCGTCATCCTCTTCTTCAGGAAAAGATATGACCTTTTGATCTTTTTCAAGCTTTTGTCTCTCTTCTATCGTTTAAGGTGTGTGAAGCATCAGCATTGGGGATGGATCTTATTCCTTTTGAGAATAAGTTATGGATATACGGAAATTGGGTTTTTGTTGGAGGAGAAGCAATGAGTTTAAAGTGTTCGACAGAATGCCTCAGTGAGTTGGAGTTTCAGTTATCTCTGTTTTTGATTATAGCTCTTACTAGTGATCTCAAATTGGAGACGTTATCAGTCTTTGGCTAATTGATTAATTATTACTTTTTTTGTTCTGAAGAAAATATGTTTGTTTATGAGAGGAAAGCTCGGAGATGCTAAGAATAGAAAAAAATGGGTCTTGCTTGTTTCTCTAAATTGGAAGGCTTTCATTGGTTTGAGGAGATGAACGGTTTCTTCTTTGAACGACATAATTAGTTAAGATGAATTGACAAGAAAAGATGAAATGTCGGAGAGATCTTTTTTGCTCCCTTAACTCTTTTGGCCATTGGTTTTTCTCTCTCTCTGATTCTTTGTTAGGTTTCCATGATTGTTCAGATCAGCATTCACTCCGAAAATGTTGCATTCTGAAAGACAAAATAAACATTCTTTTTTCTTATGATTCAATGACATAGAGACAGGAAGTCACAGAGTAAAGAACATTGCAGATTTCTTCATGCTGCTTTTGATTTAATGGTTTTAGGTTTACAGTTTGTTTTTTCCTTCCGCACAGAGTTCATGATTTTCTCTTGTGTATGTGTACATTGATAGGATCGTTGTTTAGACAAGAACAAATATGTTTTGTGAGATATACATATAGGTATCTTAGAAAAAAGTTTTATTAGTTTAAGAAGATGAGCAAGGAACAAAGCTGTGTTCTTAAGGCTTGGGAGGTGACCGTAAGAAAGACCCAACAAGCGAAGAAGCGTGCAAACAGCATTTTTGGGACGGTATCTGTATCTCCACAAACAGACGATGATACTACTACGACGACTGAGGAGAATGATGATGAGACCAGCACTAACAGAAGCAGCATAGGGGAATTGTATCATGCAGAGAGAATACTTCCTAATGGAGACTATTACACAGGGCAATGGTATGATAGTTTTCCTCACGGGCACGGGAAGTATCTTTGGACAGATGGTTGCATGTACATTGGTGACTGGTACAACGGGAAGACTATGGGAAGAGGGAAGTTTGGGTGGCCTTCTGGTGCCACATATGAAGGCGAATTTAAAAGTGGATACATGGATGGTGTTGGCCTTTACACAGGTCCTAGTGGAGATACTTATAAAGGTCAGTGGGTGATGAACCTGAAACATGGGCATGGAATCAAGCGTTTCGCGAATGGAGATGTGTATGATGGTGAATGGAGGAGGGGTTTGCAAGAAGCCCAAGGAAAGTATCAGTGGAAAGATGGGAGCTATTACATGGGGGAATGGAAGAACGGTATGATCTGTGGCAAAGGTACTTTTATTTGGACGGATGGGAATAGATACGACGGATTTTGGGATGACGGTTTCCCTAAAGGAAATGGGACTTTCAAATGGGCTGATGGGAGTTTCTACGTTGGTCATTGGTCTAATGATCCGGAAGAAATGAACGGTACTTATTATCCATCGGGAGACGAAGGGAATCCTGAATGGGATCCTAAAGACGTGTTTAGTAATCTGAGTGAGTACAAGATCTGCAGCGGAGAGAGAGTTCCTGTGTTGCCTTCACAGAAAAAGCTATCTGTTTGGAACTCTTCCAAACGTGTCGAGAAACCGAGGAGGATGTCTGTTGACGGGAGGGTAAGTGTGGGTGTAGATAGAGCGTTTGAGAAGATGAATATGTGGGGAACCGAAAGCGGAGAAGGCGCTGCTGATATTGATTCGACCACGAGGAGGGACTTAGATGCTGAAATGATGAGACTAGAGGCCGAAGGCTTCATTCAGAGCCTGAGACCGAGCCCTGCACCTATGAGATTGCCAAGGGCAGGGAGGAAGCAAGGGGAGACAATATCTAAAGGCCACCGGAATTACGAGCTTATGCTTAATCTACAGCTTGGAATCAGGTAAATATCCCAGTTTGCCGCCTCAGTAATACATTTGAAGTTTTGTTGATGTATAAGCGCTCATGTTTAATAGATTTTCTTACGCAGACATGCTGTTGGAAAACAAGCTCCGGTTGTGTCTCTTGATCTTAAGCATTCGGCTTTTGATCCAAAGGAGAAGGTATGGACAAGATTTCCACCAGAAGGAACAAAATACACACCTCCTCATCAATCTAGTGAATTCAAATGGAAAGACTATTGCCCATTAGTTTTTAGGTGAGATACAATAACACTACATGTATGCTAATTTCTCATCGGTACTTATTCTCGCACTATGTTATGCTAATTTTATCTATCTTTAGGAGCTTGAGGAAGCTATTCAAGGTAGACCCAGCTGATTACATGTTATCGATCTGCGGGAATGATGCACTTCGGGAGCTATCATCCCCTGGTAAAAGTGGAAGCTTTTTCTACTTGACAAATGATGATCGTTACATGATAAAGACAATGAAGAAGTCTGAAACTAAAGTGAGTTTATATTATTTTTTAAGTTACCAGATGAAAAATGTGTGGCTGCTATTAATTTTATTCTGGAATTATATAATGCAGGTGCTTCTGAGGATGCTTGCAGCATATTACAACCATGTTCGAGCATTTGAAAACACTTTGGTCATTAGATTCTACGGTCTCCACTGTGTGAAGTTGACTGGACCAATCCAAAAGAAGGTATGATTTGAGAACAATGCTAATTAGAAAAAAAACTGTTTCATCTCCTTTCTGCAAAAAATTGCAGGTGCGGTTTGTCATTATGGGAAATCTATTTTGTTCCGAGTACTCCATCCACAGACGCTTTGATTTGAAAGGATCTTCTCTTGGCCGTACAACCGATAAACCTGAATCAGAAATCAATTCAAATACAATCTTGAAAGATCTTGATCTGAATTTCATTTTTAGACTACAGAAAGCTTGGTACCAAGAATTCATCAGGTTGGAGATTCATCAATCAAACTCTTTCCATTGACCTTTTTCATTGTTATTTATTATGCTGATTATGTTTTTGTTCGTTCAGGCAAGTCGACAAAGACTGCGAGTTTCTAGAACAGGAGAGAATAATGGATTACAGTCTTCTGGTTGGGATTCATTTCAGAGAAGCATCAGTCGCTGGAGAGCTGATTCCTTCTGGAGCTCGCACGCCTATTGGTTCGCATTCCTAACAAAACCAAATATCATTTCTCTCCTATAGAATCCGTGAAGCAAATATAAATGTTTCTTTTTCGCAACTGCAGGTGAATTTGAAGATGAATCAGCCCCTCGTCTCTCTAGAGCAGACGTGGATCAGCTTCTCTCTGATCCTACAAGGTAAACACAAAAACAAATTAAACTCTATACCTAGAAAGCAATTTTCTCGATATCGAGTTCAATAATAAATCGGTTTGCTGTTGCAGGTGGGCTAGTATCAGACTTGGAGGCAACATGCCGGCTCGAGCAGAGAGGACAATGAGGAGAAGCGACTGTGAGTTCCAGCTAGTTGGCGAACCGACAGGAGAGTACTACGAGGTTGTCATGATCTTTGGAATCATAGACATTCTTCAAGACTATGACATCAGCAAGAAACTAGAGCACGCTTACAAGAGCATCCAGTACGATCCTACTTCAATCTCAGCCGTTGATCCGAGGCTGTACTCGAGACGTTTCCGTGATTTCATCTTCAAGGTCTTCACTGAGGATAATTGAAACAAGTCTCCTCTGTTTCTGGCCTTCACAGGTTTTCTTGGGGCTCAGGAAAAAAGGGCTTAGGTATATATATACACAACTACTTTTTTCTTTTAAGTTCTAAATGTTCTGATTTTCTAATAAACTATGTAACAACAGTTGACATCTGTAGCAGTGAATGTTTTTTTTCTGTTTATATTGTTTGGTTCAGAATTCTTATTTCACAAATATTTACTTCAATCAAGAAACCAAAACAACTCAGTACATCAATGATTTGGTTAAGATCAGTGTTAGATTTTTATGAGAAAAGGACACAACTAAAAAAACAAGATCAAATGGATAAATACAGCATATGAATTAATTACCTAGTTAAACGAGTTTTCACATTTCTCGTACAAGTACAACATCCTTTCACTTAATTCTTCACAATTAATCTTGTAATAATCATCCATATTCTCTACTTGAAGATGCAAAGTGTAGAAGAGCCTCTCTCCTTGAGATCTTGAAGATGAAACATCCACTAGAACAAACCCATCTTCTTCTATACCACCCAACACATTTGATATCGAAAAGTTATGAATCTTGGACGATGAGATTTGAACCATCACTTCATTGTCACCAAGCCTAGTGGCAGAAACTGTTGAGAGATAACTCGCGACCGCCTTTGGTTGCTGCTTATCGTAAAGTTCAAAGTCTCTTTGACCCGATAGTCGTACCAAAAGTTCTTCCTTCTTTTGTATTAGCTTCTTCACTTTCTGTTGCAGCTCTGGTATGTACTTTAAGCTCTTCGAAACCGTTTCAGGAATACTTAGCTTCTTCTGCAAGAAAGTAAAGAAAAAAAATAAGGGTTAAGTCGGTGTTCTTCTTCTAATTGTATAGCTGTCTAGATGAGCGTATTAGAAACAGATCTAGATTACATATTTATCAGAGTAGCTACTAGCTACTTACCGATTGATCGGAAACTGGAAGACATGAACGGAGAGATGAGAACAAAGAGTTGATCTTCTTGCGACGGTCACGTTCACTAGCATTGTGATTAAGCTTCTTGGCTACGACCGGATTGTTGGCTATCTCATTTCCTTCTGACGAAGCAGATACTTCCAAGCTGTTCTGATGATGAGTCAGTACTCCATAAGTCGGTGGTACCGGAAAATCAAGAAATGTGCCATTATTAAGGTTATCTCCGGCACCGTAATAGCTTTCGTACTGTCCCGTCGACGGCCAACCGAAGTTTGGGAACAATGGAGGGACTAATGCACACATGTTTTCCTTAATCAAGGACAAGTTATAGATTCTCTTCTTTTTCTTAAAGTTGTTTTGGTCGGATTAATATTATTGTCCCCTGATTATATATGCGGATGAAAGAAGACTAAAAAACAAATCTCTGTTGTTAAATATTGATCAACAAACTATATAATAAGTATTTTGATTCGTTGAGATTATATATGTGTTATACGACTTACATACTATAAAGAGAAATATTTAGGTCTCTATAGGGCATAGGTTGGCACGTGCCAGAGCCTATGTTCCACGCATGAACTAGGTCTAGTCACAAGTTGGAAATATTGTATAAGAAGCATAACATGTATTAACACTATGGTAAGATTATTGTTTACATATTAAAAGATGACTCAGACGAGTGAGAATGTTGAGAGCTTGCGGTAATCAGGTGGAAGATGCTTTGGGCGTCTTTACTTCCTCGTCCCATACATTTTTTATGTTGTAAGCATTTTCATGTTGTAAGCATATACATAAGCATTTCAAAATTTTAGATATCTTTATCATATTTAAATGTAGCCTGGTTATTTTAATCCCACAACGACGATAAAGTCATTTTATATACTAATGTCAACTTGATCCCAATTGTGTCTAAAGTAATATATGTTCTGATTTAGTTATACTTTCAAGAATGGATCAAAAATATTCCAAAATTGTAAATGTGAATCAATGAGGTTTCCAAGATTCGTTTCGTAACCCACATTTCTAAACTAATATGATAATCTCCGAAAGCTACAGTTATCATCCTGTAAATTGCATATTCTTGTTTAATTTAATCTCATATATTTTTTTAACCAACTAACCAAGCCAAGTAAACTACTACATTTCTTCTTCTTTTTTCTAAACCAAAATAAACTAAAAATCCAAAGATTTATTTCTTTCAAAACCAAAACTCCAAGTTTTTTCTGTGATGCCTGATTGAAAAAACTGCCTCTAGTATATATTAACTCCAAGATCAATGGATAACCTACATACATGGCTTCTCATTTATCATTTATCCTAATAAATCTCAATTAACTCTTTAAATATGTCACAACAATCTATTAATTAATAAGTGCAACTTGGCTCACTTACATAATTTATCTTCTAAATTAGATTCCAAAGTTTAGTATATGATATAATTTTATACTCTTTACTATAATGTTGCCACCTATGTTGCATGGAAACTCTCTTCAAGGTCCGTTTCCCGTTTCCGAAACGTTTCGGAAACGGAAACTCTTCGGAAACACGAAAAACGGCACGGAAACGCGTTTCCTAAAAATCTATGTTTGGAAACACGATGGAAACTCACGTTTCCAAAATGGAAACGCGACAAATCCTTTTTATTGACTTTGGAAACTTAATAAATAAAAGTTGAAAATATTAAGATTTATAATACATATAACTAATTTTAGAAGACTCTGAGTTTTAAGATCTTTCTATCGACAAACTAGATTTGGAGGCATCTTTATATGATCTATGATAAAACTAATGAAAATGAGAATGAAAATGTTGGTCTAAATTAAATATTTGACTTTGAACCTTTTAATCTTTATCTTTTGTAATTTTAGTTAACCTATTTTTTTAGTTAACCTATTTAATATTTATGTTTTGGACTTGTATTGTTTAATTAAACCATTTTTCTTTAATATAATATTGTTTTATGTTAATGTTATATATATATACATATATATGTGTATACGTTTCCAAAACGTTTCCAATCCCTAATTTTAGAAAAAAATCGTTTCCCGTTTCCGAAACGTTTCGCTTCCACGTTTCCGTTTCCGTTTCCATGCAACATAGGTTGCCACACTTAATGTTATATTGTAGTTGTAATAAAATACCCTCTTTTTGTCTTTTCCCATTTTTATATTCTATTGATACACCAAAACACCACTAACTCTTAACTGTATATAAATAAGATACACATAAACAAAAATTTTTATTAGTAAGATTCAAAGTCTAGACAGAAATTAAAATCTTTAGCTGTAACATGAACTTCATAATAATCAGTCTATACTCAATAGCATAATCGATCATTGACTTCGACCAAAAACGAAACAACTCGACTACAACTACAACGCTTTGGTCAAGAATGTTAGAATTTCAACAGAAATGGACGACATAACTATAAAGAAACAAGAACAAATTATAATCTAAATGAGTTTCCACATTCCTCATACAAGTACAACATCCTCTGACTTAACTCTTCGCAATTCAGCTTGTAAATTTCAATCTTGTCCACTTGTAGATGCAAAGTGTAGAAAAGCCTTTCTCCTTGAGACCTTGAAGATGAAATATCCACAAGAACAAACCCATCTTCTTCTAGCCCACTTAAAACATTAGATATCGAAAAGTTATGAATCTTAGACGATGAGATTTGGACCATCACTTCGTTGTCTCCAAGCCTAGTCGCAGACACGGTCGAGACATAGCTCGCCACCGCCTTTGGTTGCGGCTTAACGTAATGTTCAATGTTTTTTTGACCTGACACTTGCACCAAAAGTTCGTCCTTCTTTTTTATTAGCTTCTTCACTTGCTCTTGCAGCTCTGGTATGTACTTCAAGCTTCGAGAAACTGTCGCAGGAATGCTTAGCTTCTTCTGCAAGAAAGTAAAGAAAAAGGGGTTAACACAGTATTCTTCTTCTAAATTGCATAGATGCATAAATGAAACGAAACTGATTCACATAAGACAAATCAGAGTAGCTTCTTACCGATTGGTCGGCGGCAGGAAGACATGAACGGAGAGATGAGAACAAAGAGTTAATTTTCTTGCGACGGTCACGCTCACTAGCATTGTGATTAAGCTTCTTGACAACCACCGGATTGTTGTCTATTTCATTTCCTTCCGACGAAACAGAAACCCCAAAGCTGTTCTGATGATGAGTCACCGCTGTAACAGCTCCATAAGTCTCCTCTGGTACCGGAAAATCAAGAAACGCGCCGTTGTTGAGGATATCTCCGGCGAGGTAGTAGCTGTCGTACTCTCCCGTTGATGGCCACCCAAAGTTTGGGAACAATGGAGGTACTAATGCACACATTTTTGCTTATTAAGACAAATTTTATAGATTCTGTTTTCTCTAGAAGCTTGGAAGCTACTTTGGAATTGGGATTGTTCTGAACTTTGGTAGAATATTATTGTCGAGCGTATATATAATGCGGATAATACAATTAAATAAACAATCTCTATGGTTAAATATAAACTAACAAACTATACTATTATCCAATAATATACTATATTATATAAGTGTTATACGACTTGTACTATAAAGAAGAATGTTTGGATCTGAGGACGTAGGACGACACATGCCAAAGCCTATGTTCCACGGGTGACCAAGGTCTAGTCACAAGTTAGACTAACTATATAAAAATTAAAGAAGAATCTTACATGTATTAAAGATCAGAATTAACATATTGTAAGATGACTCAGCCGGAAGAAATTGTGGGAGACGCGTGGAGATCAGCTTGAGGCGTCTTCCTAGTCCCAAACACTTGGATGTTGTAAGCATATACATAAGCAATTCTCATGTTGTAAGCATATACATAAGCATTTTATTTATTTGTTGACCTCCCCAAAAAAAAGAAAAGCATCTTCCTTAATTACTATATTAAATCAATGTTAGTCTTGTTAATTTAGCTCAATTAATAAAGGTCGGTGATCTATCATGTTAAGCCACTATCGAACTAGGGTCAACTTTAGGTCATCCACTTTCCAATCATTACCTTTAGCATCAAGTAAGTAACTTTCGAGACCAGGTCAAAAATATTCCAAAATTGTATATGTGAATCAATCAAGTTTCAAAGATTCTCAATAGTAGGTGACACATTTTCCAAAACTAATAAATCCACTGAAAGCTACATTGATTATCGCCGGCCTCTTCCACGTCCACCACCACGGCCACCTCTTCCCCGGGAACCACCGCCACCTCCTCTTCCCCGTGAACCACCGCCTCCTCTCCCTCTAAAACCACCGCCTCCTCTACCCCTGAAACCGCCTCTAATATTATCTGATTTTAGTCCAAGAGACTGAACTCCTCTCCTCCTGTTTCTTTGCCCATCTTCATCCTCATCGTCTCTATCTCCTCTGTCTTCTTTGTATTTCGATGAGCTTCTCGCCTTGAAAGAAATCTCCCGAGATCCTCCAGGACCGAATTTGATATCTTTCGAGCCTCCAAAGTTGCCACGCCGGTTCTCTATAGCCTTGACACGCTCGCCCATAGGAAGACTATCTTCTTTAGCCAGTGAAGTGCGGTTGTAAAAAGCTGCGGCATGCCGCTCATCTTTCACTTCAAACAACCTGACACCAAATCATCCATATCAGAAAACAAAAGAATCAAGATAGTGTGTGTCAAATGTAGATCCTGGAATGCAGTCAAAAGGCACTAACTTCGGAGTTCTTGCTTTCTTGCTTGGCCTAGTTGCGTCTCCATCGTCGGCCTCGCCATCTGAAGACAGTGATGCATCAGAATCACTGTTCTCGTCATCATCCGATACAGCTTCAAAGTGTTCATCTAACAAAGAAGGTTGCTTCTTCGAAGAAGCAACAGGGTGTAGGACACCATATTCATATGATTCTGGATCGATTTGGTAGTCCTGAAAACCAAAAGGGGATTCCCAGTAATCAGTTTAATAAGATGTGAAGTAGTGCAACAAAAAACAACAAACAAAAAAACATTGAAAAGAATTATGTTAATACCGGATTTTGGAACATCGAACTAAACCGACCATCTGCGAAATTCTCGCCACTAAGTATCGGTTTCTTCTTTTTCGACACTTTCTTGGCGGCCTCCTCATCCTCGGCAGTTTTATTCTCCTCATCTGAATCGTCCCCATGAAGCCTTGCTGCGAGTTCTCTGTTAACCTTTGGCAACCTTCTCTTCTTCTGGAGAAAGCACAAGAGAAACAGATATGTATGTAAGTAGCCAATAAACAAACAATGGTGAATCTACAGATGCTAAGGTTTTGAATACTAACTGTGATTCTCTGTGTACGGTTCGCTTCTAACTTCTCTTGCTTCTTACGTTCTAAGTAAGCATCATATGCAAAAGGTTCAGCCACTGCTAAAGCCTGTACAAAGAAAGAAAGAAAATATAAGGAAGAAACATTATAGAGACTATTCTGATGCTATTAAGTGTTATGAAAATGTCAAGGACTCACCTTTTTGTACAAATGGTGATTCATAAAATATCCATGCATTTGTGCTTTCAAAAGATCTGTTCCAATCAAATGAGTTAGCTGCAACTTCTCCAGATCTTCCTTTGTCACGAATTTGTAATTATCATAAATAGTTGTCTGTCCACTTTCCTCCAACTCTTCCTGAGAACAATATTAACACACAAGAAACGTGTTTGTAACAATGGTGACATCACTGGAATGGTAAACACATAAAAGGATAGGGAGACTTTTTAATTTACCGTTAGATTTTCAAGAGGAGAACACCATTTGGGGGCAGGACCGAGTTCAGGTATGAAGTAAGATGGGATTAGGCTAGAGTCTAAAGCAAGAAGCATAAGTCCGCTTCCACGGAACACACAAATGTCGTTTATTCCTCCTTGAGTCGGTTCAATGCTGGTCATACCTTCTCCCTGAAAAACACAAAATGGAAATAAATAAACAGAAGAAAATGGTGATTCAAAAGCTTTATCTAGCTATATCTCTTGTTTCTTCAAAAAAAAAAGTGTGAGGTTAAACCGTTCTTATCTGATGCTTACCGTGTTTGGATCCCATATTCTAACAATGTGCTTGTCGGTAGTAATCAACTTAGGTTGTTGAGTATTAAGAGTTCGTTGCCACTTTATACTCAAAATCGGGCTCTCGTACCTGCAAGTTTTGCAGAAACACAATGAACATTGAGGAAACAACCCTAATGTTATAGCATATACAATGATTGAGTTAATAAAAACAGTAAGACTTACATGTGATCCTTCACTCTTATGGGAGTTGAAGTACGCAAGTCGTATATGAATACCTGCAGATACAGAACAGCACGATCAACACAACATATCTATATAATCAAATCGACCTACCAATGTTTAAAACCTTGCAGATAAAAAAAATGAAATATAGCATCAAACCTTTCCCGCACTACTCCCGACAGCTACTTGAAGACCTTCACTGTCATCAAACTCGATAGCAGTAACCTCCTATTAGCCAATTAAAAAGCACAAGATTATCGGAAAGTTCACTGCGATACCAATCGCATGACGTCTAAGCTAAGAAAGTCAGTTTATTTGGAACATAAGTTAGGAAGAATCACCGCAGCAGCATCACCACCATGTGTGACCGCGTTAATTCTAGAAGCAGATGATTTCATTCTCATATCAAAAAATTCCACAGCACCATCCTCACCACCACAAGCAACTAATCCATGGAGGTTACTGGAGAGAAAATAGTGCTCAAATGTAACCAATAATAATCTAGAGCAACAGAATCAAATCTTCTTCTGGATCAAATCAAGAAACGTAATAACAGAAAAAACAATTCAGTATACAGACCTTCGAGAAACAACATTAAGGGCTGGGGATTGAGTGCTGAGAGGAGAGAGAAATCTTCCCTGAAGAGAAAGAAGGCGAAACTCAAAAATCATTCTCTAACAAAGACTGAGGTAGGTCACAATACTAAACTATTATATATTCACTGGAAAGAACCTGCTCCAAATTGATTCTGTATAGATCAGGTGAGGAAGCAGCGCAAAGAAGATCACAAGACCAGGGATCATATGTCATATCTCTCCCCATCCTGCAAATATATGAATGCTTTAGACCACGAAATATATATCTCATATACCAACAAAGCTAAAATACCTTGGAATTCGTAAAGTGTGGTGTTTCCCGTATTTGGCGTGTAGTTGAATAGAACGATCAGCACATAAGAAGGCAAGCTTTGAGAAGTCATCATCCAATATCTGTAGAGCCAACAAACACATATTATCAAACCAGAAACAAGATAGTTACTATGAATAGTGCTAAGAAACAACTCACGGAGCAGTGAAGGTACCTCGAAATCAACTATCTCCGAGTCCAAATGCCTCTCAAACTTCAGAGCAAGCTGACCTAGCTCATAAACTTTGACCTGTGGTGGATATATGCCTGACTCAACAACAAATCAGTGAAAAGTCACACATTATTTATATCGAAGCAACAAATTCAGAAAGAAAGAAAACGCACCTGAAGCAATCAGATACTCTCCGTCTGGAGTCGCTTTGATTCTAGTAGTGGCAGTCTCAAACTTCAACTCCTGAATCAGCTCCACTCTTTGCATATAATCTTACATCGAAGAGGGAAAAAGAAAAAAAAAAAGGACGAGCCTTTAAGAAATAGGGTTTATGAAGGGGTTAACGATTCAGAGCACTAGATAAGCTCTGAGACAGAAACAATAATAGGTGATACTTACGAGGGTTTTTTCGGAGAGCTCGTTGCTTCTTAGGATTAAGCCAAGTCGCAACATTGGGTGCAGAAGAAACATGGTATAACTTAACTCCATTAATGGAGGTCGACTTCAGTTTGTCTCCATAAGACGTCATCTTCAAGCGGGTTAAAACAGGAAACCCTAATTCCTCTACCCTTGACGGCGAGTTGCAGAGAAAACGCAAAAAATTGAAGTCAAAATTAAAAAAATGGAAAGAACCACCACTTGTTAATACATAAGGCGGTCGTGCTCTCCGGCAGAACAAAAGTCGACGTCGATGTCCCAATTTTAGGTTTCTTGTCTGTTTTTCTTTTTTTGGGCCTTTTTAAACCCTAAAACACTTAATGGGCCTATTTTACTACAATAAGCCCTTAAACAATTATATAATCTGTGTGAAACAAAAAAAAAACAAATCAAAAAGAAGAAAACGCCTACCTTTAACTTCGAATTAGGGTTTATCAGGATTCAGTCGCCTGCTCACTTGAATTTCTTCGCAAGCTCAAAAAAACTCCGGTAAGCGATGATTTTCTCTTTTAGTTTAGCTGTTCTTCATCAAAGGGTTCGATTTATTTTCGAATTTAAGCTCTATGGAACTGTGATTGTTTGCATTGATTCTCTATAGTTTTTGAAGCGATAAATTTGATTACTTTTGTATGAATTCATCGTCACCGTAGTATATTAGTCCTTTAGCATCTGATTCTTTAGCTCTGTGATGTTGTGATTGACTTAAATTTGTGTGTAGAAATATTGAAGGAAGATGGTGAGGCCTTATGGGATTAAAGTGAACAAGAGAAAGGAGAGAACTGAGAGGTATGATAAGGAAGAAGATGAAGTAGAGGAACAACCAAAGATTGAGAAAAAACAAAAGGCAAGAGAAAGTTCAAAGAAAGCGAAAAAAGAAATCACTTCAAGAGCAGAGGAAGGTAATGAAGAGGAGGAAATAACTGAGGAAGCAACAGCAGCAGCAGAGGATATTGTGGGAGGGATACCTATTGTCCTTAGTGCTCCTAACAAGGAAAAGCCCGGTGTTGTTTTCGTGCTTGAGAAGGCCTCTCTTGAAGTTGCCAAAGTTGGAAAGGTAATCTGCAGGAATGTTGGCATTACACTAAGCCATGGAGTTTGTTTGTGGTACTAATATATGTGATTGTTGTGTGCAGACTTACCAGCTACTGAACTCGGATGATCATGCTAATTTCTTGAGAAAGAACAACAGAAATCCGGCTGATTACCGACCAGACATCACTCATCAGGTCAGGGTCTTCAAACTCTTAAGTCATATCTCGATAGCTTATAACTAATTGTGACTCATCTTTAGTGATCTCTCTCTTCAGGCTCTTCTTATGATTTTGGATAGTCCGGTTAATAAGGCTGGGAGGTTGAAAGCGGTATATGTTAGAACAGAAAAAGGTGTCCTTTTTGAAGTTAAGCCACATGTTCGTATACCAAGAACTTTCAAACGATTTGCCGGAATCATGTGTTAGTTATCCATTTTTTCTCTCATCCTTACTGATATTTTGTTACTTTAACCTCCTCAGTTTTTATTGTTTCTTATCCTATTTGTTGGTCTGGCAGTGCAATTGCTACAAAAGCTGAGCATTACTGCAGTTGGCAGCGGTGAGAAGCTTCTACGGTGTGTCAAGAACCCTATCGAAGAATATCATCTACCGGTTAACTCCCGAAAAATAGGTAAAAAACAAAAGCTTTAGTTTCCTCCTACATATTGTTATTTATCCATATTATGTGAGCTAAAAAAGGGAATTGTCTCTTTCTTATATCAGGCTTCTCGCATAGCTCTGAAAAACTCGTCAATATGCAGAAACACCTAGCTACTGAATCTGATGATACAGACACAGTTTTTGTGGTTAGTGCTCTCCAAATGTTTCTCTCTCGCTTCTTCACAAAGTCCATTTCATTTACTTAGTAATAGGATTAAGCTTTCAATCTTATGCAAAACCCATACCTTGCTTGCTTTACCATTTCTAGGTCGGCGCAATGGCACACGGGAAAATAGAGTGCGACTATATTGATGAGTTTTTGTCGAGTAAGTCTTCTTCTCACTTGTACTTTTGTTAATGGAAAAAAAAAAAAAAGGAACCAAAAAATCTGAAAGAGGTTTCTTGATTTATGCAGTTTCAGGGTATCCATTGAGCGCAGCCTACTGTATCTCAAGAATCTGCGAGGCATTAGCAACAAATTGGAATATCATATAAAGAATTATTAGCCTGCAATATAAGGTCCTCTGTTTTCCTCTCTACTGCTCTAATGGTGGAACTACTTTAAGCTACTATGTTGTGATACACATTGTTCATCTACTATCATGTTTAAAAAATTAAGAACTTTTCGTTTGAAATTTTGACTCCACTTCAAACGTAATATTAAAGTTAAAAAAAAAAAAAAATGAGATGGTTCCTTTCCTCTTCCTCCTGTGATTAAGAATTAAACAACACATTTAGGTAATAGCCTAATAGGATAACTATCAGAAATTACATCTGTAAACATTAGTTTTTTTAGTAGAATGTGAGTCTACGTGACTATGGCAGACCTAAATTGTCATTTTCATTTATTCTCTCTGTAAGAATTAAATGTAAACTTCTCCCTCGAAAACAACCAAAATTACGCATTATCCCTCGCTTAAATCGGTCATGCCGTTGTCTTTATACTACTTGGACCAGAAGGATTGGATCTTGGTCCAGTCAATGGACAGAGAAGGTAATCACCGTTTTGGCTTAGAACGATGCCGTTGCAAAAAGATTTCGTGGAAGAGTATCTTCACTTATTTTTTTCTTTTTTTTTTTGTCAAGCAGAGTATCTTCACTTATTTGTTAGGTTTCGTACTACAACAGCATGTCAGATTGTCAGTCATCTCGTCACTCAATCAATGATATTCGTGTAAAAGCTAGTAAGTAGTAGTAACAAATATGACGAAATCAAAAGTTGTTGTTAATCATTTTATTTTGGGGATATGAAGTCCGAATAATTGCCAATTTGAATAAAATGAGGAAATAATTAAACTGTTACACTAAAATTTAGAATAATTCTATATATATAACATTCTACCTTCTATAATACATAATGATTTATCTATGTCTTTATATATCCATAAGTAAGGACAGCTTATACAATACATGAAAATATGATGAAATGTTTAATTCGGAACTAGCTAACTGTTAAAATATAAGGATCGCAATTTCATACACTATCTCAAGATGTCAAACCCATGCATAATGCAGAGATATAGAGAGCCTTTACCTTAGTTGGCCGATCACTAGCTCAAAACATATTCATCAGAATCACATGAACAAAAGCTAATAATTCACTTGATTAGTTTATTAGTTTTTCTTAATACCCTAGTTCATTAAGTTTATTAGGTCTTTCAATTTCTTTTTATAACTTAACTTTTATTATATACTTTTTATTATTAAACTCTTATTTTGTCCCACTTTAAATCTCTTAATTATTATAATAATAACCAATCGATCGCACCTAAAACGTACCTTCCTTTAATCGTGACTTGTTTACAGAAAATAAAGCATGCAAAAGAATATCCAATTGTGAAAAGGCTGGTGGAGATCCCTCGTTCACATCAATTGGGCATCTTTTGGCGACAAGAATCAGACGAGAGATTAAGAAAAGATCATTCTCCAGTACAAAGTAATACACGTATGCTTATTTGGTACTATCACTAATAGTAACATATAGAGTCCATTCCACGCACGGCTTATGGATATAATATAACTAGACAGATATTTCTTTTTGTTTGTTTGTCTTTGTAATAGGTTAGAGAGATTTACTCTTTAAAAATTACTAATCTAGATCAATCATGTTTGATAGTCCTGATGATATTCAGATTAATAAGTTTTCCAAAATTTTGTCAGAATCTCGCCAAACCCCAATTCTAATCACGAGTCTCACGACACAATTCTCATTTTCCTTCCTTGATGATAACGATTTTTATTTTTAAACCATACGGACATTTAGAAATCACACAAATCTATTTTCAACTACTCAATTTGAAACAAAGTTTTGAAGAATCCAGGTTCTCATCATAATTCACTCACGCAACAACAAGAAGATACAACAAAATTGCATTCCCGCTCATAAACAAATCACACAACTAAGTGATAATTTTATTTTGGCGTTTGGTCTTTGGCTAACTCATTTGGAATCATAAACTAGAGATCCGTTGATTCCTCAGAATACCGGAAAACTAGGGTTTCTCGGATCTGTTGATTCCTCAAAATACCAGAAACGAGAGAACGTGAGGAATTCGTTGATTCTCCGCGAATACCGAATCCTACGTCTTCTTATAATCGTTGAGATCTCTCGAGATCTACCGAAAACAAGGATTAGAGAATACTCTTCTCTGAAAAGCTAAAAGCTCTTTAATTTTATTAATCAATCCCTTTTTACAAAAGGAGGCCTTAACGGCTTATTTATAATAAAACATAAGAAAACCCTAGAATATTCTAGAAACATTAAAAGATAAAGACTAAAATAAATAATATAATTAAAATATAAATAATTAGGAATTATCCTAATTCTACGCTGCATCAGGTCTCGCCGGCCAAGAAAAGATTCGTCCTCGAATCTTGTATCTGCGCTGCATCAGCTCTCGTCGGCCAAGAAAGATTCGACCTCGAATCTTCAGCAGGGTTTTCAGCATTGGAGATCTTCGAAGATCCATCTTTATCTTCAGCTCTTGATTCTGTCCGATTTTTGCACGAACTGGATCAGACCCGAAATTTGCATGAATCTTATTTGACCCGAAATTTGCACGAATCCGTTTTGATCCGAAATTTGCACGAACCGGAATTTGGACGAAACTTGCACCGATCTGATCTTTCATGATTTCTGCAGGAAACCCGAATTTTGCACAGATCTGACTACGCCCGGATTTTGCACGAAAAGTATCTTGCCCGAATTCTGCACAGATTTTCTCGAACGCACCATCGCTGAACACAAAATCGACATGATCAATAACTAAGACATCATCATCTTCATAGATATCGTAGATAGGATCACCGTAGATTTCTCTGTAACCATCTTCAAACAAACTTTCTTCTGCAAAAGGATAAAAGTTACCACTCAACATGATCACCAGAATCGTTCTTCGATTGAGAAATCAAAGAGACGCAGCTCTGATACCAACTGAAGTAGCGGAAGCTTTAATGGATAGAACTAGAGATCCGTTGATTCCTCAGAATACCGGAAAACTAGGGTTTCTCGGATCTGTTGATTCCTCAAAATACCAGAAACGAGAGAACGTGAGGAATTCGTTGATTCTCCGCGAATACCGAATCCTACGTCTTCTTATAATCGTTGAGATCTCTCGAGATCTACCGAAAACAAGGATTAGAGAATACTCTTCTCTGAAAAGCTAAAAGCTCTTTAATTTTATTAATCAATCCCTTTTTACAAAAGGAGGCCTTAACGGCTTATTTATAATAAAACATAAGAAAACCCTAGAATATTCTAGAAACATTAAAAGATAAAGACTAAAATAAATAATATAATTAAAATATAAATAATTAGGAATTATCCTAATTCTACGCTGCATCATAAACCCAAACGGCCGGCCAATACACGGACCCGATCCATAACTTTCCATCTTCTGTCTCATAAGCCTCACTAGCATACTTCACCGTCTTCCCTTCACTGTCCTCAAGTATCTCAAGAATCTCTCCCGTCTCTCCAGAGAGTTTCACGACAATTCCATGAGGTTTTCCTCCGTTCATGAAATGGATTACAGTCTCCATCTTCATCGTATTCATTAAAAACCTTCCGACCGAAGTGTGAATCAGAACCGCACGAGTGAACAAATTCTTTTTGCAATGTAATGCCACCCAGAAATCGCCCGTTGGCGTACGCCGGATATTGTCAGGGGAACCAGGGAGCGTTGCGAAAACCTCGTTGGTTCCGGATTTGGGACCTTTGACCCATATTCTATGGCAAATGTTCGTACTGCTCTCGCATGTGACTACAAACGATCCGTTTTTGCTTAGAGCTAGACCATTTGGTAAACGAAGTTTGTCCATAATAACTTTGGCCTCTTTCTTCTTCATATCGTATCTAATTACTCTTCCAACCTTTGTCCCGGACATAGACACGTAAAATACTTCCCTATATATCCAACAAAACACATTTCTTTATTTTATTTGCAACCAAAAAGGATTTATTGGATGTGTTAGAAAGTAAAGCAAGTGTAATAAAATTACCTGAAATGGTATGTATCGCTGCTATCATTGAAGTAGAATATATCTTCCTCTTCATCTATATCTCCTTGGTTGGCAAACATAACTTTACGACCTTCGGCTTCATCAACAACTAACTCGGCCAAGCCTCCCTCTGGTCCGACCTTCATGAGTCCAAAGTAACCATCACATATGTACAAATCTCCCGTTTTCTTCTCGAAAGTAAGTCCCAATGGCCTTCCACAACTTGGTACTACCTCATGCCTCGAACAGTTATCTCTTCATTCACCAAAAACAAAAAAAAATCCAATTAATTGGGAACACTAAATAAAATCCTAATTCATTCACCAAGAAAACAATAAAACAGAGTAAGGGTAATTTGGTAATTTTGGTTACAAATGAACCTGTGAGGAGAAGTGTAGGCGAAATCGACCCAGCCGAGTTCTTCACCGCGCCATTTGAGAATGCGACCGTCGGTGACGCCAACGTAAGGTCCTTCACCTTGTGGATCGAACTCTAAGCTCTCTGGTCCATCGGCGGGAAGAGGAATGGTCTTAGCATCTTGAAGGACGTGTTTCGTGCCCTTTATATTTTCCGGCCCGATGATTGATGACCAGAAGAAGAAGCAAAGGACGGCTAAGATAACCGGAACGGCTGTGACCGGCGTCAGAACTCTCCGGCTAATCGGCATCTTTCTCTCTCTCTCACTCTGTGGAGGAAAATCTGTGTGAATATTTTAACAACAAAAAAGGAAAATGTGTGTGAATGATGATACTGAAATTAAAGAGACTATAAATAGATAAAAGTTTGGATGAATCAAAGATCTTTCTTTTTACTGTAGAAAGAGATGTGAGGCTTTTTTAATGATTTCGGACACAACACACGTTACACACGTCAATATATGTGTCATCGCTTAGTTTTAAGTGCCATCTGTCTGTCAAAAGATTAAAAAAAACTTGGAAAACATCAAATATTTGGAAGCTGAAACTTAAAAAAGAGGAGTAATAGAAATACCCAAAAGTTTTTAAAAATAAAAATAATTGAGTACTTAAGAGAATATATGGCAAGTTCCTGAATCTTTTCTTTTCACTAATTTGTCATTAAATTTTTTGAGAAAAGTATAAAATTTGGTACACCAACTAAATAATATTTTTCTTTATTTTTTGATAAATTTCTGATTGTGTTTAGTCGATTATATTTTGGCGGTTTTCTGGTGCTCTTACCAAAACCATTAATGCCCATATAGTTTTAATTATGATGAGTTCTTCGTAGGACCCTTGTTTTTCTTCTTTCATAAAACAAATACAAACTGTTATTTGATTATTGTAGCACAAAATCAAATCGAATGCAACAAAGCTAAATCGAAGTTGCTTTTCAAGTGACTTTCTTTCTTTCGCGCACAAAAGTGGAGCTTTAATACCGACAACATAATAATGTGTTCAGTTCTTCTGGAGCTTTAATAAAAGGAAAAACTTTTGAAAGAGTATGATGATTCAAATTTATTTTCCGCAAAAACAAGTGATGATTTAAAAATAAATAAAAATTTATTACTATTCAAAACACATAAGTAGATACAATATAATCACTCATTTGCGATCAAGAACCCAAACGGCTGGCCAGTAAACAGACCCAAACCATAACTTCCCATCATCTCTCTCGTACGCCTCGCTTACATACTTCATAGTCTTTCCTTCTTTGTCCTCAAGTACCTCAAGGACCTCCCCCGTCTCCCCGGAGATTTTCACGGCCACTCCTTGCGGTTTAAATCCGTTGATAAAAGCAATCACGTACTCCAGTTTTACTGTCTTTTCAACCAATTTCCCAAGCCATTTATACCTCAAAATCAATCGCCCTAGCAGGTTTTTCTTGCAGTGTATACCAATCCAAAAGTCTCCACTCGATGTCAGCCGGATGTTGTCAGGGTAACCCGGGACCTTGGCAAAGATATCACGAGTCCCGGCTTTGGGACCTTTGATCCAGTATCGGTGGACAAGACTCGTGCCGGACTCGCATGTTATTAGAAAAGACCGGTCTTTGTTTAGAGCCAAACCGTTGTTACAAACGAGGTTGTCCATGACAACTTTGGCCTCTTTCGTCTTCTTATCGTATCTGATCACTCTTCCCGACCGCTCCCCACTGATAGCCACGAAAAATACGTCCCTGACCGACAAAAATCACATAAAGTTTGAATTGTTATAAAACGCTATTGTTTGCAAAAAAAAACAAAAAAAAAAGACAAACAAAAACAAAAAAAACGAACAAACACAAACAATTATTGAAGACGTAAACTCTATGTCACAAATGCTCGGATCCTAATTTCTAAGTACACATGTATAATTAAAGAAGCCTATAGAATACCTGAAGTGATACTTGTCACTACTATCATTGAAGTAGAAGACATCTTCCTCTTCGTCTATATCTCCTTGGTTAGCAAACATAACTTTACGACCTTCGACTTCATCAACAACTAACTCGGCCAAGCCTCCCTCTGGTCCAACCTTCATGAGCCCCAAGTAACCATCGCAGATGTACAAATCGCCCGTTTTCTTCTCGAAAGTAAGTCCCAATGGCCTTCCACAAGTAGGCACTACTTTATGTTTTGAACAATTCCCTCTTCATATATACAACAAGGTTATAAAGTATGATTAGTTAATTTAGTTATTTGATTTTTCAGAAAAGCCTATATAATCAATATACATACTATCAGGTGACCAGTTGACAAGCCACAAAGATTTGGCTGACACAGATCTGTAGTATAGCCTTATGACTTTGAAACAATTCATTGAATTGCAGCAAAAGAAATTTAAGTTCCCCCTTTTTTTTTTGTCAAAATATATATATGCAAAAATAAAAGATACAAAATATACAACATTGGGACGGATCCAAGGAATGTTTGCACAAGAATATTTAGATCAAACCTGAAAATCAAATTATAAAACTCAAGCTGATTCACCGCAACACTCATAAAACAGATTTGATGTCCTCAATTACTCATTCTCAAACAATAAATATATGTTTTGAAAAAACAGAAACAATATATTATTTGTTCTTTTCTTCCTCAACTTGAAATATTTTTATTGGCTTAAAAAGGTAGGTTTTGGACACAACACAAAGAGTTCCCAGATCTCTCGGGTAATTTCCTCAACTTATTTGGTATTGGTTATCATGTGTCGGTTTTTTTTCTTTCTTTTAAAGATAAATTATATGTGTCGATGTGTTCTAGTAAAAGACGTTATAAATAAAAATAAAAACCTGTGAGGAGATGTGTAGGCAAAATCAACCCAGCCGAGATCATCGCCGCGCCACTTGAGAATACGGCCGTCCACGACCGCAGCATAAGGACCTTCTCCTTTATGGTCAAACTCAATGCTCTCCGGTCCAGTAACAGGAATTGGAATGGTTTTAGCCATTGTCAATACATTTTTGGTGCCCTCTAAATTTTCCGGAACAATTAAGATCTGATACAAGACTACGGACAAGACAGCCAACACAGTCGGAACGGCAAACCAAGTCGGAATTTTGTGATTAGTGGGCATTTTTTCGCCGGAACAATATAAGTTGTTGACTTGTTGGTTGTATAAGAGTAAATGTTGCTAGCTCACATACAGGTGAAACAATTATATAACATCCAAAACAAAGAAGTCAGTTTCTATTTTTCTTATCGTTTATGTGGATGCATATATGTACACGTATCCTTCATTTCGCTTGAAGGGCCAGTTGTCTAATATAGAATAAACGCTGCGATAAATCCATTCGTTGATTCAATGAAAGGCGACGATGTTAGTTTTTAAATTGAAACTTATCGAAACGTGAAGGAAAATGACGGAAAGATTTACCTTTGCAGTATTTTATTTGTTATCATTACAAAGGCCGAACTTAATTAACGTTATTTTTTATAGACTGTTTGAAAGAGAAACATGAGTTCTTTTTTTTTGGGCAACGAGAAACATGCATGAGTAAGAAGCGGCTTCTCTAACGCAAATATTATGAGTGCGACAATTTGACTGCTTTTCGGAACCAATCTTTTAGGTTCGACCTTTAAGAATAAATTAAAAATGAAGTAGGCTATATATGTTATATGTATATATTTAATTAAATGGATTTGTTTTGAGCAAATTGTGCTGGTATAAAGTTTTTATGCTAGAAATTGATTTCATTTAAATATTTCAAAAAAATATATATTGCACATCACATCTTGAACATTTAGAAACGCTTTAAATGACAAAAAAGATTGGATTTCTATGGTTCAGAAAATTAATTTAGATTTTTGGTTTGAAATTTCCAGCTAAAAAAAAGAATTGGATACGTTGTTGCCGAGTAATTTAGAAGTCAAACCCTACATGACAAGTAAGTGTAAATACAAATTCACGTGACTTCATTCTCGACCACATAAGTCATGAGATGTGTCAACTTCTGCCACAGCCACCACGACTGTTAGTTACTTCTGACATAAGTACAATGGCAATAAAAACGTGTCTCTGACTCTCTTATCCATGTTGATCTCTATCATAGCATCATATTTGAATCTTCCATATTGCAAATTAAATAATTATTTATATCAACATACAAAACAGATTTAACTATCTGCTATATACGCTATTAAGGTGATAAATAGCTGAACCCAGACATCTTCAATACCCGCAACCCGAGATATTACTGCCATAATAATTTTGTTCTGCTAAATCTTTATTTTCTCTATGCCGCGGACGTAATTTAACGTAATTTTTGTTGCAGATTTGTCTCGCATTAAATGCTGAGATTTGCTAAATAAAATCTCGTCTTTACCACATAATAGGGGTGTTATCGTCGTTCATCCTAAACGCAGAACATAGTCTCTATTTATTGCTCCCAGATCTTGCATTATCTGTTCTTCTGTGGTTTTATATTTTATTGACCCTAAATAGAAACAGCCAAAGAGGCTAATATAATTTGGTAGATTATATTTGTCAAAAACATATAATGATACAAACAGATATAATTTACCAAACTATATGTTTCTGACATTTTAGATTAGATGATTTGACACCTTTTAAGATGTCACCACATGATTACAATATATATAACATACAGTACAGACATCTTTTAAAACTTAAAAAGTATATACATGTACGTCAAAAACAAACAACACAAGGAGAGTTAACATAGTTGTGAAAACGTGATACACTTATAACAATGCAAAGACAATTAAGTCAAGAGCAATGTAGGAAACTACAAATCATAAACACCAAGGAAAGGCATGAGAACAGAACCAATCCAAAGCTTGCCATCTTTCTCTTCCACTTCACTTATAAACCTCAATCTCTTTCCTTCCTTATCCTCAAGTACCTCCAATACCTTTCCTGATTCACTCAGCTTTATGGCTGTAGCATGAGGTCTTCCTCCAGTGAACAGTGAGTGCAGGCGCTGGGGACTGATCGGAAGTCTAAGCACCAAATCTCTGAACCAAGTTTGACTGAGTGAGAGTTTCGCAAAAAGACCTTTCTTTGAGTGTAAAGCGACCCAGAATTCTCCATTCGAGTTTCTTCTGATGTTGTCAGGGAAACCTGGAAGCTCAGCAAACACTTCGTGTGTTCCCGCGTTTGGACCAGAGAGCCAAAGCCTTAGGATCTTGCAAGTGGTTGTTTCGACTACCAATACAAAAGACCGGTCTTTGCTTAGTGCAACGCCGTTTGCAAATGCAAGGCCTTGTAGTAAGACCGTCGCTTTCTTGCTGGATCTGTCATACTTGATAAACCTTCCAGTCTTATCGACGTTCAAAACGGCAGCCAGGAATTGCCTGAATATGACAATGCATTGGAGTTAAATCATCATCACCAAGATAAAGGATAGACCAAGACTCAGACATCAAAGCAAGAAAGTTCATAATTTCACAAAACATGGATACTGATTAACACAGTGCTTTGATTATACATACATAGTATCGAAGACTAAGCCAAACTTTTCGGTATTAAGTTACCAAACTCAAAAAAATCATTCTTTTTTTCTACAAGAATGATGAGATGTTTCTATTCATGTTACCTTCTCTGGAATCTGGCACTAGTATCTGTGAAGTATATCACATCTTCCTGCTCATCAATGTCCAAATCATTAGTGAAACGAAATGGCTGCCCCTCGGCTTCAGTAACCAAAGGTTTGGCTAAACCACCAGCAGGACCAACAACAAGAAGGCCAAAGTACGCATCCGCGATGTAGAGATCTCCGGTTTTCTTATCGAACCGCAATCCTAATGGCCTTCCACACACATGCTCCAACTCTGGTGCAACTGGGCGAACACACTCCTGCCTAAAACCACAGATGAGTGTGATAATCTTACAAAGAGTTATAAAAATGCTGAAACATATGTATATGTCTCACTAAATCCTAAGGCTATGTTATCTCTACTCAAATCCAATGAAAATTCTCCACAATTCATACAAAAAGACAACAATTTTGACAAAACACTGAGCAGTCACTTCAATTCCACCATCGAAAAACAGAGCAACCAACCAAATTCTAAGGCTGAAATTCAGAATCAATCGATCGAAAATTGTCAAACTTTCTTTGAAAATGTACCTATTAGACGCTGTGTGAGCGAAATCTGACCATCCAAGCGATTCACCGCGCCATTTCAAGACACGACCGTCGGAGACACCAACGTACGGACCTTCACCTGCTGGATCGAAAGCTATACTCTCCGGACCAGAGGCTCCGGTTAAGTTAACCACTTTCGCCGACGGGAAAACATCACGCGAACCGGAAATTTCAGGCGGTGCGAAGATACCAGAACCGGTTTGAGAAGTCTTGACAAGGATTGCGAGAACCGCAACAATCGCGGTTAAGAATACTGTAATGATCATCATGGTCATGGTGACTGGTGGTGGTGGTCAGTGAGATTTGCACTCTGCTTCTTCTGTTACGAGAGAGCTTCTTTACTTTTGTTTCTCTTCTTGGAGAAAAGTCTTAAGGTTAGAGAAATTAGAGATACTTCCTTGTAATTGTTGTTTAATTAGGATTTAGACTAATTAGTTGTTAAATGATCAATTCTCTCCATCAAAATTGAAATGAAGAATACGAAATTACTGTTAATGGACTTTATTTAAGCCCATTATTAGGCCCACTTTATAACATATAATGGGCTGAACAGCTTATTTAAGTATTTATCACATTAGAGAAGAATTGATTACAATGCCAATAGCCCAATAGACAAATGGTTGGAATATGAGTCGGCAGTCAAATTTTTGTTTTATTCACAAGCTGTTTGGTGTGCCGTCATTTTTTTTTTTTTTTTTTTTTTTTTTTTTTTCAACAAGGCCGATCCATAGTCAATCCCTAATACGCGGGGTAACGCGACTTAGTGGAGTCGAACTCCGGTGGGTGAAGATTTTTTAAATTTAATATCTTGTGAATTATTACTTATATATTGTAATATAATACAAAGTTACAAAAACTGTTGTTCAATATTTGTTTATGTAGTGCATCATGGAAATTGGATAATTCAGGAAGCTAATTTTATAGCCTCTTTTCAAGATATTTCGTGCTAATGTCAAGGTGTTTAAAAATGGAAAAAATTCACTTTTTAAAAGTACTTCGCTAAAACATGTTTAATTAAAGGAAGGAAAATTAAATTAACATTATTATAAAGAAATAAAAAATCTAGAAAATATTGTAACCAATACTAGGGAAATTAATAATCGATGTAATAAATTTTATCAATTATGATTAACATTTTTGTAGTATTTTATTTTTTTGTTATATAAATTCAAAAACGAATAAGTTCAATTGTATTTTATGTAAAATTTTGTATGAGCATAAGCAAATTTCAGAAATTAAATAGATTTTTTTCTCAAAATGAGACCAAATAAAATAACAATACATTGACTTCCCTTTTTAGTTTTTAGTATCATAATTGATGTTTCTAAAAAGTAAAAACCAGGAGAAATGTCACTAAAGGTTTTAAAATGAGTTTACTAGCTTGATAATTAAAAGATCTTATATAGGAACACAATCATACAACCTTTATGTATTAAATAGGATGCGTAATATGAAATATAAACTCACGCGATAAATAAAATAATAAAAGATTTGCTGGCAAATATGGCAAAGGAAAAAAAGAAGCAAAAGGGATTTGGTGTGTCAATAATGTGGCTCTGTACTCCATCGGAGGGACACTTCCCGTATCTTGAATATGGCCTAGCAGCAATTGTAAGGGCATTTAAAGTTTTGATCTTATTCATTATTATGATATAGTCGAATATTAATCTTGAAATGAATGAATGGGGAATGAATTGCATTACATTTTCAAGTTAACGAAGTAAGTGAAATAAGTACTCCATACAATATTTTCATGTAGTAAATTCTCTACTTAAGGAACGTTATTTGCTTAGTGAAACGTGTAAACATTGATTATATATATATGGTATACCAGTGAGGACTAGAGGAGTTTGTATTTATGATGACAAACAAAATTTAGAATCTAAATATTTAATCAAATTATATATGCATGCAACATATATAAAAATGGAACTGATGGGTTTGCAACTTCTTTTGTAATTTTGCTTGTAATTATTAATTACTTGAAGTTCTAACTTCTTAATTACTAAATAATTGAACGTACTCATCTATTTTTACAAATTATAAGTACACGAGTTAAGTATATATTATCCCAATTCTCTCTCTCTCTCTAAAATAAATATAATGGGAAACAAATGATATAACGAAAATAATTAACATTGGTGTAAATGAGAATAATCTTTTATATCAAACACATTTATATTTAACTATAATAATACTATTTAAGCTTTACCTTTTTTTTTAATATAATTGTCTTCATATTTGTCAATCTGTCTGCTTATTACACAGAAGAGTGGTAATCGACGACAAGAAAAACAGAGGAAGGCTAATCAGATAGGGAGACTGTTACCTGATATTATGAGAAAGAAAGTTGTAGCTAGAAGCCTATAATCATAGCCTTTTCTAGAAAAGAATGCAAACATCAATAATGGTATTCTTTTCTTATATATACCAATAATGGAAATTAAAAGGTGAAAGATAAGTATCGAACTCGATTATTGTTTGAATCTGTCTAAGTAACCACTGGTGTTCTATTTGTTGTTGTTGTTGTTTATTAATCCAATCAAAGTTCCTTGGTGATGTTAATCTATAAAAGAGCGGAGGGAGTATTAATCTATAAAGCCGATTGAAATAGATGGTAATAATTTACGTACTTTAATATATATATATATATATATATATATATATATATATATATATGATAATGTGGGTCAACGGGAACATGGAAATATGTATATTGCTGTTTATATATTGTCTTAATTGATCTCATTAACGTATATAAAATAAAATAAAAGATTGGTCTCATTTATTAAAATTCTCAAAACATGTGAAGTTAATATCGCTGCTGTATCGTTTAGAATAATGGCTGAGGTTTGGTTCAGGTTCACCGTATCAAGACCATTAAGCTAATTAAATTAGTAATATTGACCTAACTGCGTAATCGTGTGTTTCATATATATATATATATATATACACACACACCGACGAGTCGACGACTATATAATAATGCGAGTGTTACAAGACCGATTGGGTACAAGTACAACCACTCAATGCACGCCGCGGTTTGATTTTCCTATTACTAAAAGTTGGTTGATTTTGATAAAAAAGAAAGAATAATCGACATATCCGATCCCCCAATCCAAATAATGTTTGCATGTAGTTGACGATAAAAATTACAATGAATCGTCCCATACCAATTCGTTAAGCATAACCTGCCTACTATATTTCAATAGAACAAAAACTCTGAATTATAAATATTGCAATATCAACTTTGAATTGCAAAAAGAAAAATCTTTTCTAACTCTTTCTATATACATGTGCTTATCGTAACAATAAAGATGTCAATTACAATATACAAAACAGCCGTTATATTGTGTATGAGTTAGCATAGACTTTTTTTTTTATATATAAAAACTTGGAAACCTGGAACAACCAATACACAGTGCCTCCCATAGCGAGTTAGCATAGACTTATTCGCGTCTTTTATAATCAAATACATAAACAGCTGTTAAATTTATAATGTTGAAATTGTTGTGAACAATTTTATAAACTTCGAATTCAAGAAATAAACTTCCAAAGTTACAAAAAAAAAACATCAAAATAAATATGTAGTTTATGGTTTTACTATATTGGAATAGGGAAAAGTAGAGAACAAAAGAAGCGACCATTAAGGAAAAAAGCCTGAAGACAAGGGAAAGAGAGAGAGGGGCCATATTGTGTGCATGTTTCTCAGCCAAAGAGTGCCCTGCCCTTCACAAGTTCACATCACTTCTATTTACTATTTATTTATTTATTTAATTTTTTGCCTTATATATATATTATATGCTTTTAAAGTATCATATATATATATATAGTATATATCTTCTATACTTAAAATCATATATATTTATTATAATTATACTCTTGAACACAACATTTTTGACAACTCATTGTGATTATTATAATTTTTTTTTAATTCTATCCACTATTTTTATCAAAGAAATTACGACGTATTAATTTTTAATTTTAGTTTAATTGTAGCGTTGTATTCAAACTTAAATTTGATAATAATAATAATAATAATAAAAAACTTAAATTTGATCAATCCGAGTTAAATTAAAAGACATTTATATTTTTTTTAAACACTCTACCGACCAATTATGTTTAGCCAATATTATTGCTTACAAATAACTTGATGAAAAATATGTATATGTATTAGGACCCTAGATATTATTCATCTTTTCTACTTTACTTTCTTTCTATTTTAGTAAATTACTAATACTTTCTTACTATTTATATATACAGATGTATACATGGCACATAATTGAAATAAATAGACCTGAATGAGTTTAGAAACCGGGATATTTCAATATAGAAGATAAGATAATCATCGAACAAACAACCCACAAATGAATACTATAAATACAAAAATAAATAATCGATCAAATATCTTAACGAGAGATATAAGCCACTCAACTACCTCACTACGACTCGAAAACCTTCTCGGATTACGTTCATTGCATGTGGTCCATTTCACATGTCACTATGACACACATCCACCAAATATGACATTCTCAGTTCACTTCTATGTACATAAAAAGAAAAACCAATTATGTAATATTGTTTAAGGGTTTTATCATTTTTCGTACCTAATTATGCTTACGTTAACATGTTAAATTATTGTGTTTATATGTATAATTAATATCAAATGTTTTAATTCTTCTATAATGTAAACATGACATTTGAACTAATAAATTCAAACACAAACACAAATAAGGCGTTCGAATTAACAATCGAATAATAAATATAACATGGTCTAGAGATGGAAATGTGAATAATTTTGGTTCTTCTTTAGGCTTTAATTTTAGGTCAGTAAAAAAGCTATATTACATCCTTTTTCCAACTGAATATGATTGTTGATCTGATTCGAACCCAAATACTTTGATAAAACAGCCGGTCTATAAAATGACGAGTGTCTCGTAATGTTTTATCTAGGGTCAAAAGCTGTGATGATGAAGGTGTTTGTGTTAGAGAGAGGAAGAGGAGAGAGGGGTCCAGGGTCCTCCTCATAAAGGAGAAATGGATGGTTGCGATTAAGAGAGGAGGATATGTAATAAATTGAAGATCCATTCTCACTATTGTGGATTAAAAGCATTGTCTTCCCGACATTGTGGATTAACATTAAATAGACCACTCGAGATCGAACCATATCTTTTTGGTCAATTCCACCATCCTTTGATTCCTTTTCTCATTTCTTCTTCTTCACCTTCTTTGAATTACTTGAGTGCCTTACTCTTTCATGTCATTTATTTGGTCCATTTGTGTTAAGAAAAAAAAAGTCGATTATATTTTTATTAACTTGTGGATTCATCATGTTGAGTAACGATTGATTTAGACCGGTAGCTTTTCGGATTAATTAAGAGAAGATTTCATTTGGACTATACTAGAGACATAAGAAGCAACGAAAACATTTATGAAATTAACCCTAATCCATAATCACCGTTTAAACCGGGTTTTAAACATTGTGACTAGGCTAACGAGAGAGTACGCATTGTTGGAGGGATTTTGACGTGTGGCCCCAAAAGTTAGACACGTGTCAGATATAGTAGATGAACATGTTGGTAATGGCAATCATGATGATGATGAATGAATGGGGCATGACCATGGGAAACAAATCTTTGCAAGAGAATCGATTTAAAATTGCCATGTCGTTGCCACCACAAACCCAACTGCTCATTATTTCACGTTTTGCTGAATATTGTTTTCTCTATTGAATTTAATTGGAGCAAAAAAACAAGTAAACAATTTAATGATATGATAAACAAAAAAAGGAGGTATCTTTGATGACGTCACCTGTATCTCTCAAGATTTTGGCGGGTCCCTCGTTTCTGCATTTATTTCTTCATGAATTTAGACTTCAAAGGTTTGGGAAGACTTAGGGCCTGATTGGCAAGTGCTTTAGAGTCTTTACAAAACAAAAAAATTTCTAAAGCATTGAAATAGATCCAATCAAGCTTTAGAAGTTTTAGCTTTCTTTTTTTTTTCTCACAGCCAAAATATTTCCATAATTAATTTTTTTGGCTGTAGAAAGCTTTTTTTTCTAAAGCATACAATTTTTAACTTTCCAAAATTTTAAATGTTACAGCAAAAATACTACAGCACTAAAATCTACAGTCACAGCCAAAACATCTACAGCCTAAAAGGCCTGATTGGTAACCGCTGTAGCTTTACATTTTTTGCTGTAGAAATATGACTGTAGGTTTATATGCTGTGGCTGTAGATTTTATTGCTGTAGTATTTTGGCTGTAGAATTTAAAATTTTGGAAAGTTGAAAATTATGTGCTTTAGGAAAAAAGGCTTTCTACAGCCAAAAAAATGAATTAAGGAAATATTTTGGCTGTGAGAAAAAAAAGGAAAGCTAAAGCTTCTAAAGCTTGATTGGATGTATTTCAAATCTTTAGAATTTTTTTTGCTTTGTAAAGACTCTAAAGCACTTGCCAATCAGACCCAAAATCTACAGCTACAGCCGGAACCAATCAGGCCCTTAATAAATTTTAGTATTTTACGAATAAAACTAGGAGAAAAAGTTAATAAGTCTACATGAATTATCAAGAATAAGACACCAGATCTTTAAAGTGAAAAAATGTTAAATTACTAAAACTTTAAATGGTTAAAGTAGAAGAATATGGAGAGAAAGATGATTAATGTTCTAATACATTTATAACTATAAAATAAATGAACATGATGATGTGAAATGTTATACAAATATATATTGGGAAAAATGTCGGAAAATGCGCGAACTTTCAAATTTGGGACAAAAAAATCATGAACTTTCAAAATGTCATTTAAATCATAAAGTTTAGTTTGACTTTTTATAAAATGGTTAAGTTTTCGTTGACTTGGCCATTTCGGGCATGTCGTTAAATTTCCGTTAACGAGACGTTGACGGGGTTAATTTTTCGTTAGAAATCTCCGTTGAATCGAAACGACGTCGGTTTGAAAACAACAAAACGACGTCATTTCACTGGAAAATAAAATGAATCAACTGCGTCTGTGAAGAATCGCACTTTCCGTCGTTTCGATTCAACGGAGATTTCTAACGGAAAGTTAACCCCGTCATCGTCTCTTTAACGGAAATTTAACGACATGTCCGAAATGGCCAGGTCAACGAAAACTTAACCATTTAATCAAAAGTCAAACTAAACTTTATGATTTAAATGACATTTCGAAAGTTCATGCTTTTTTTGTCCCAAATTTGAAAGTTCGCGCATTTTCCGACATTTTTCCCAATATATATTTATAAAATTTATCAACTCTATAAAAGTATTTTAGATTTTTGCATATATGATGATGTTGTATATGTATTTTTGAGATTTGGTGTAAAATCAAGCGGTTGTGTTAGTAGTATATAAAGCAAAGCCCACCTCTTATCTAATCCTTAAAAATCCTCCAAAAGATTTGTTTTGATTATTTTATTTTATTTTAGAAACTTTGTCTTCTTTTCCTTCCTCTGCGCTGTCTTCTTAGAAAACAAAAATAATTTTTTTTCTATTTGTAACTTTGCTTTCTCCACAATTCAAAGCTAAATTAGCTATATACATTTTTCCCTCTCTCTTTTGCAAAGATTTGGTAGAAGAAAAAAAAAAAAGAGTTATAATCAGAGATCTTGTTTTAAGTGCAAACTCTTTTATTTCTCTTCTTCACCTAAGGCTTCAGCATCGTAAATTAAAGATTAAAATCGCATCAAATCCCGGAGACAGAAAAAAAAAAATTGATTCTTTTTAGTGAAGAACAAAAAAAAAAGTCGAAGACTTTACATCTGGGTTCATCGATTTGAGATTTGATCTTCTTTGAGATTCCTTTTTCTATCTTCAAGTTTTGCTTTAACAAAAAAAAAAAATCTTCAAGTTTTGCAATGGGTATGGCAGCAGAATCGCAGTTTCATGTTTTAGCTGTTGATGATAGTTTATTTGATCGGAAACTTATAGAGAGATTGCTTCAAAAGTCTTCGTGTCAAGGTATAATGAGTGTTAATAGAAAAAAAAAAGTCTCAATCTTTGTTTGATAAAATCGAAGAAAGATCTAAGCTTTTTTGTGTGTTTGGTATTTGTAGTAACTACTGTTGATTCTGGCTCAAAGGCTTTGGAGTTTCTGGGTTTAAGACAAGGTATTGATAGTAACGACCCAAATGCGCTTTCTACGGCTCCTGTTAATCACCAGGTTCGTAAAGTTTGCTCTTTTTTTTGTAAATCACTATAATGTTAAGTTTCTTCTTTTGTTTGATTGTTTGTTTTTTTTTCCGTTGTTGTTGTTAAAAGTTGTTGTGTTTGATTGTTGCTTTTAACAGGTAGTTGAAGTGAATCTTATAATTACAGATTATTGTATGCCTGGCATGACTGGTTATGATTTGCTCAAGAAAGTCAAGGTACTTGTTTTCTTCCTAAATTATTCGATTCCATCTTTGGAAAAATAGTTTTAGAGAAACTAAGAAAGTTTTCATATTTTCAATCAAGAAAATGAGGGAATGTCGATAAAAGATCTCTTTGGAATATTTGTGTTTATTTCCTTCTACTTTATGCTATTTGATGTGTACAATTTATTGATAATATCTTTTGATTAATCTGGCAATTTTGCAGGAATCATCAGCTTTTAGAGACATTCCAGTAGTTATCATGTCCTCTGAGAACGTTCCTGCAAGAATCAGCAGGTAAAGAAAGAGTGAACCTATGAAGTTTGAGTTTAATTCATCATAGTTTTCCCGATGAATTAATGGGAAATTCTTGTGTGTTTTGTGTCTTGATCATGAACAGATGTTTAGAAGAAGGAGCTGAAGAGTTTTTCTTGAAACCAGTAAGATTGGCTGATCTTAACAAGTTGAAACCTCATATGATGAAAACAAAGTTGAAGAACCAGAAGCTGGAGGAGATTGAGAAAACTTCAAATGTCGAAAATGGAGTCCCCACTGCAGTAGTTGAACCAGAGATTAAAGATTCAACAAAAGTTGAAATCGAAATCTTGCCTCTGCAACAAGATCTGCTATTAGTACAACAAGAGGAGCAAACATCGAGTACCAACAACAAGAGGAAGTCAGTGGAAGAAGGGATTTCAACTGATAGAGCACGACCTAGATTTGACGGTATCGCAACCGCTGTCTGATCTACCGCTATAATGCTGCTTTTTCCGGTTTCTGATTTAGAGTTTTGTAGATTGTCGTAGGAATGCTTCTACGGGTACAATACATGGTTTCAGTAGGGAACGCAGAGAGGGGGATATGATGATGATGTATGGGGATAATGTTTATAAGTACATCAGTAAATCTTACATGGTGAATAATCCAATTCCCAGTTTTGTTTCACTCTTTACTTTTTGCTTTAAAGGCACTCAACTATCTGAAAATGGTATGAAGGATCTGTCGATAGGTCACTTTATTTGCACACTGTAGTTTTCATGTATAGATACGTACCTGTCCTAGCGAACAAAAAGGTATAAATCTGGTAAATTCTGGTGCAAATGTGTCATGGTTTGTTCCATGTTATTGTTTCCTACCTAACCTGAAACAGAATATCAGGACAAGTTGCTCACTGTGTCCTCTCTTCACAGATCAAGAATCTTGTTGAGAATTGTGTCACTTCGAAGAAAGATCTGTACTTGTTACATAATAATCAATTAATCATGATTTAAACCTAAACAAGCAACATAAAAATCTAACAATGATGAATTTATTGCTTGATCTCTTTTCAAACACCAAATTATGTCTTATGGTTTGTTAATTAGATTCTTACTTCAAGAACCTATGAAACTACAAAAGTTGAGACAAGAAAAACAGAGTTTTCACAAATGGAAGCTAGAGAGGACAGGTATTAAAGGCAATATCAAGATCAGAGATCAAATCATCCGCATCTTCGATGCCAGCAGATATACGGACAAGATCTTCCGTCAAGCCTCTGGCCTCACGAACTTCTGCAGGTATGCTTGCATGTGACATGAAGCATGGCATGCTTATAAGTGACTTAACACTCCCTGTTGTCAAAGAGAAAAAGTGGAAGAGATCAAAATCCAAAATATCCAAAAGCTTATTAGAGCTTCTCCAGAAGAAACAAAATATAAGTTTTCTTTGAGTCTCACCAAAACTGACTGCAATGCTGAAGTATTTGGTGGTTTCTACAAGATGCTTTGATAGCGCAACCGATCCAGTTATAAAGCTAAAAACTGATCCTGCACCCTTAGCCTGCATATATGAAAAGAGTTAATGTTATATTGAGAACTTAAACTATCTTCTTCTTATTCTTCGATATATCAGTTCACGCTTTTTAGTACCTGAGAGAAGTGGAGATGGTGACCAGGATGATCTGGTAGACCAGCATAGTACACTTTCTTCACTCTTGGATGAGAAGACAAGTACATTGCAATCTTCCGTGCGTTTTCCTGAAGATTTTTGCCATCTATTGTAAGTAATGAAACCAACCCAAAAAAAACAAAAAGAGAGAGAACAATATTTCAAGATAATTAGGGGGGTTAAAGTCAAGACTTGTTGCTTTTCAATCCGTAAAGCCATTGTCTTGATTCCTCGTAGGCAAAGCCAACAGTCGAAAGGAGCTAATCCAGAACCTTCTGAGTTTTGGAGGAAATACACCTCCTTTGCCAATCTGGAAATTTTAACACCATTATATATAAGAAAAGCAGATATTTCAAAGAAATGTCTCAGATACTTGAAATCAGAAGATACTTAAAACAGAAAAGAGTAGAGGCAACATACTTTTCGCCTTTGACAGCAAGCACACCCGCCATCACATCACTGTGCCCAGCTATAAACTTAGTAGCTGAGTGCATCACGATGTCTAGAAAGCCATACAAGTTGAAACATGAGTATTAAGAAGTAAATCTGAGAACAGAAAAACGAAAGTTTAGCCAATAGAAAGCAAGTCTGAGTTGTTTTACGCACCAGCTCCAAGTTCTAATGGCCGAGAGAGCACTGGTGACATAATACTGTTGTCCACCAACACAAGCGCACCTTGAGCATGAGCCATCTCAGCTATTTTCTGCAAAGACAGAAAACCATCAAACCAATTAAACATTACAGCAGAATAAGTCGATTTCCGCCATGTTTCAAAATTTGTAGAAACAGAGTATTTACTTGTATATCAGAAATTTGTTGTCTGGGGTTTGTTGGAGACTCAAGCCACACAAGCTTTGTCCGGGGACCAATCGCAGCAGCAACCTCGTCTAAATTAGTTGTGTTTACTCGTCTACAAGATATCAAATGAAATCATTAAGTTATAAGAATGACTAGTTATAAGAATCATAGGTAGGAATACTAACTTTACCACAACGCCGGATCTTGGAACAACTTGGGATAGTAATCTGTCCGAGCCACCATATACATCATCTCCAGCAACAATTTCTTCGCCTATGGAAACAATATTAAATATACCACAATGAGACCAAAATTTATGCTACCAATCCAATGGAAAGACATTACAATCCAGGAGAACTCAGTATCGGAAATTACCATTTTTGATAAGATGTGTAACAGCACTAAGAGCAGCCATTCCACTAGTAAAGCAAAATGCTCTATCTGCCTTGTCAAGCTTCGCAAGGAGGCTAACAAACGAATGAAACAGTAATGTTGTACGAACACACATACAAATATAGCTAAATCACCTAGGAATCGAGAAGATGCTAAGAAACAATTACCTTTCCAATGCATCCCGTGTAGGATTTCCACTTCTTGTATAATCATAAGGTCCATTTTCAATAGCAGAAGGCTACAATAAGCAAAGAAACTAGTATCAAGTGGAAAAAATCTTCCCATAATAAACGAAGTTGTTCGATTTATGGCTCAGTACCTGCTTAAATGTAGCTGTTTGGTAAAGTGGAGTGCTCATTGCTTCAAAGGGATCAAATTTATTATCCAAGTTTACCAATAATGTAGAGACACTAGCTTCTTCTTTATTATTCATAGCTGCAAAAACATTGAAACACCATCAATCAACTAAAAAACGCTAACTTTACGATAATCATCAATAAGATCCACTAAAAAAGAACCATTTAAGCTATCTGCGGTATTGTTAACAGTAGAATGAATTTGACCATCGACACTTTTCTCCATCACGCAATTCAGCTTGAAACAGTTGCGATTCGAGATCTGCTTCTTCTCCCAAGTTGGAAACTTGGAAATGGAAACACTGGTCGGAGAGTTCTTACTGATCAAACCCTTCAGAGAAAAACACCAATAGACGAAGAGGATTAGATACCACTTAAATTGGTAGAGACCAAAAGCAAAAGAAAAAGGATTAACTTTATTTGAGAGGTCAATAAATTATATTAAAGTAAAGAGCAATACTCGGTCGGGGAGATCAGCGAAGGAAGGTACGAAGGAGGAGTGAAGTGACAGAGAAGAAGCCATTCTGGTAGATGATAGAGAATTAAAAAAGCTTCTTCTCCGGCGTCGATTTCTCGTCTGAGATATTAGCCGACGAGATAATGTCGGCGACGGAGGCAGTTCTCGTGCTCAAGTGAGTGTGAAGACGGAAGACGACAGAAGAGAAAACTGGGGAAGCTGCTTTAAGTCCGGTTTTGGTTTCTTTTCGGTTTAGTTAGATACGAAAAGAAAGCCGATATAATTCTGGTCTGGTTTTACTCAATAAAGTTAATGGTTAGTGCAATTTGTATATATATACATACCCTTGATAACATTATGGGATCGGATCATATATCAATTTCATTAACAAGCTAAAGAATTTGAAAAAAAAAAAAAAATTGAAAGGAAAAAAACACGTGGGGGAAAGTAGGTGAACACCTACTCTAAGTTCTAATGAGACCATAACACTAATATATTCGGCAGTGACAAGAAAAAAGAATTTTGATACAAACAAGAGTCGTGTACTTGGAAGAATTGGCTACATATTGTCACAACTAAACCAGCATAAGATATCAGACAAATAAATATTGTCTATTTTCAATATCTAAGCATCATAGAGAGAAACAAAAGCAGTGACCAAAACAGACATAATTACAAGAGAGATAGCTCTCGAGATGTTGAGCAACTTGAACAGACACTCTCTCTGCATCTACACAATGTTTTTTTAACTCCTACTTCCTGACCTCAGGTCTCTCCTGATGCTGCTCGATGACTCTCTACTCTCGCTTTCTGATTCGCCTTCTTCCCCTGAAAAACTTATAACTTTACTTAACTGTATCTAAAAATGTAGCTTAAGTTATGTGAGATTGTTGAAGATACATATGGAAGTTTTCACATACCGCCACTAGTCTTTTGGTTTAAGGAACGAGGATTGGTCGTACCACATTGCGTAGTCTTTTGGTTTAAGGAACGAGGATTGGTCGTGCCACATTGCGCAGAATCTGGCTCTTCCTCCGAGTCAGATGGCTCTTCCTCTGAGTCAGATTGCTCCTCCTCTGACTCAGTTACAATCAAATTATCACCTGATTCTTCCTTTGATGGATCCACAATTTCACTATCTGAAACACCTGAGAATACACAAAACAGTCCATTTTAAAAAAGAGAGATACTATCAAATGTTTAGAAAGATTGTCGTTAGCTGGCATTTGATTATCGTAAGTATGGTACAGTGAACTGTGCTTTAGCCAAGAGTCAAAAAAATTACGAACCTTCACCTTCATCATATTCTTCTACAGGTTCTTCTTTCACTTTGCTGAGGACAGCAAGAGATTCCATGGTCTTGGTTTTCTCTCTATGAACCTCGGCATTTCTTGCGGTTTCTTCTTGTTCTTTCTTCTCCATGTGGAACTTGTTGATCTTCTCTTCAAACTCTTCGATGCACGCTTTGAGTTCTGGTTTCGCAAACTTCTTTCCCTGTTCAGATTCACAACCAGATGTCAAACTCATATATAGCACGAAAATAATGGCTAGGGTGATAAAACCACAAAAAACGGACCTTATTGATTATGCTTCTAAAGTTCTCGGTCACCAAATCCTCTGCTAAAGCGTGCTCGTAAGACTTGAATGACTCAATAAGCTTTTTGATTCCCTTTTCTGTGAATGTCAGCAGCGAAAGAGAATACGAAATGTATTCCCACTGTTTTCCATCTGCAAGTTTAGGTGTAGACGTCAAAGGGATATACTTTCTGTTAGCCCATAACAGGTCTAAGGATATATCATCAATACAAGCATACCTGTGACTCCGCTAAACCTATTGCAAAGCTTCTCAACCAGAGCCTCCATCTGTTTGTCCTGGAGATTGTTTAGAATACAGATGAGTGATTAGATAAGAACAAATACTGGTCATGCGCTAACTTCAATATTGAAAAGCTATATACCTTTTTGATGGAGCCGATCAAGAATTGCATGACATTACAGAATGACTCCC